CTTCAAACATAGCTCAAGACGGTTATCGATACGCACATCAACCTTCTGGTTCAAAGCCATCCAAAACCATATGTAGGAACGGTTTACTTCATATCAATACATCAATGCTCGAAATTCGGTGAATGCAAGAGGGTCGGCGTGAACAAGTAACATACTAGATAGGTATGACTTTGTGGCAGGGGTTCGGAATAAATACAAGAGATATCATCAATATGGTATCAACGACTGTACCATATACAATTCAAGCATCTCTTTGCCTCGACACCAGCGATATGTAAATTTAGTTTCAATCAATAGACTTGACCGGTCAAGTAGATATGTCCTCGTCTCTTTCTAGGAAATCAATAACCATTACGCATCTGAGCCCACGTAAGTTTCTCATTCGACGTGGACATCCCAAATCGCAACGTGAATCGGGCCCGATACCGTCTACCATAGGTAGAAAATCCAGTATGACCGAAGGTGGGTCGATACAGTCTTCGTTGATAACTGGGGTGAAACCATGGTAACCAGCGCCTCTTGCCGAAGTGTATATGCCGGATACAACGAATACACTGTCGACATGGTCATGAAGTTCATGGTTATTGTTGATCTGGCGCGAAACAATGGTCCTAACGCGCTTTCTTCATTTGATGGAACGACAGAGATTGGATTCTATATGAAGTTGAGTTTAAATGATAACCAATCCCTTTCCCCTTCATTGAAAAAAAAAGAAGGGGGTAGGGCATATTATTTACTCACATATTTTTTGCCAAAGGCCCATTGATAGGTCGTATCATTTTCTCCTACGAATCTATCCAACTCCATAACTGGATTACCCAAATGTCTAAAGTTGCGACTCGAAAAGAAATCAATCCAGAAAGGCCTAAGATCGAGTCAAACGTTGTGCAGATAGACTGATATAATTAACCTACATGTATACGGAGGGCACTAACAAATCTAAGCACGTCGGGTTCCAATCTCGTTCCCAAATCAATATCGCAGTTACGAATATACCTGCCAAAACGGATTCCGTCGCGTTGACATGTTGCATAAAGGAAATAAGATGCTGGTGAGGTATAAACAGCTGCAACAACGTCCGCAGGCGTCCATATAACGACCGATGCACCATGTACCTGACGCGGCTCGAAATGCATCTCAACATCAACAAAGATGCTGTCTCTAAGTTATCGATTATCCGCTGCCACAGTTTGGGAGATAAACAATAGATCTTAGATCGATCAAGATCATAACTAGTCCTTCTAGTCGAATTAGGCATTTCAATACCAACGTGGTAAGAACCCGTTTCTGTACAACAGTTGATAGTAGAGAATATGATTTCGGTATCGCAACGGATAGCACGGATAAAGCTGATGAGGGATCAACAAATTATCGAGACGAAGCAGTATAAACACTCGCAGGTATAACAAAGCGTTGGCCTCATATATGTCGGTCTCCTTGAAATTTATAGGAAGCTCGCTGCTATAGTCATGCTTCACTATCACCACGAGACCTCGCCATTCTACGTCAGGAATCAGGCGGCCAATTAGCAGATTCCTCGGAAAGTTGTCTGCCTCGGATTCTCGGAAATATATGGTGTATGCGATATTGGAGCCATCGTTGTTAGCGATAGTTCGTCGGCCGTTCCCCAGATTATAACACGTCTTCATACGTTGAACTTCGGACAGAGTGCTTTGCTGAATTAAAGCTAAATCGTCAAGTGTGCGAAATCCATGCATTCCTGGTAGTAATCCCGCATTCACAATGGTTGGTCTGGAAGAATCGCATGGATAAAACAGAACTTTGAATGAAGTTCTGATGTTCTAACCCAATTTTGCTAGAGTCAGAATTATAATTTGCCGTAGAATATGCAACGAGTTACCTGATCGTTCCAAAGGCTTTCATTCGAAAAAGAGTAAGAGGCCATGGGATAAGAAGGTCGTCAATAAGCCAGTGGGTAGTAAAAGAAATTATAAGCACTATAATTTAGCAGTGAAGCGTTGTGATCGGTTTTACTATGCAAATCACCTGACAAATCGCCAATAATATACAACAATGAGAATGGAGGACAATGCTTTCATTTCAGCTACCGCTTCGTACGGCCGTATCCGACTACGTCTAATTAGAACACTGATCAATCTTATGCCGTACAGGCGTATTGAACGAACACTAAAAGCGATAAGAAAGTCAACACACGAAACAAGGAACAAACACGGGCAAAATAAGTTAAGAACCTTCTGATCTTATCACGCAATGTGAACCCTTATACCCAATCGTTTGATTATGCGTACTATATTAAAAGAAATGACATTCTATTGAGTATGATAACCTGCGTAGTTCTTGACATCAACTTTTACGAAAACGGTGCGTGGAAGAGGAATACGGATCTTAAGAAAAAGGCATATTCCTACCCATTCGACATAATCCGCATTCATGAATTATGACGTCTATGACGTCATTATATTTCCTTTTCTTTTTATAGTATACTTTGCAATGGTATCAGCACCCGATCGGTCGGTAGCCTCGATGGTGGTCTAAAAACAAACTCAAGTGATTTTTACATAATTATAATTACATGGATCTCTTTGCCTCCATAAATCTTTTCAACTCTTCGATCATCTCGTCCGCAAGTGAAGAAATGTAATATTACACTCTTCTTATTCATATTGGCATTCGCGTCCTATAAGAAGAGTGATGGTAAAGGCAGACAATACAGTCATTCCCAATCACTGTATTGAACGAATGCGACGTAGAATAAAATTAAGTCCGTGCAAAATCAACATCTAACAACCAGACATGGTCATACGATCAGTTATATGAGACAAGCCATGACGACGAAAAAAAAAAAAGCAGCTCGCACTCGATCCATCGCCTGCTAGTTTACTCCGCTATCCTTTTTCTTCTTTTGTATTATAGAACACACACGAGGAAACAGCACGAATAAACCCACAATATCACAGCCCCACATAAGGCATACGATATGCGTATTCTTGAGAGGTGATACCGGTCGTATGAAAGTTGGTTTTCCATTAAACCATCATCAATACTTGCGGGGTGCCATTTGCTTGATCCTCTCCTTCGCATGGCCCCTGAGCTTCTCTAATAAGGCCATAGACTTTTCAAGTAAACCTTATTTCAATGGATGACGCTCAAACCGTCAGGACGACATCTGGGAGCAAAATAGGCGCCGCAGCCGTTTGTGGCTCCCGACCACACAAATGCGGCCTAAGTTGAAGAAGATTGGCAGTGCGTACAGCAGAGGGGATCATTCGGACTTGATGAAAGCAAGGCCATAGACACTACAACCAAGTCGTTGTCACCCCTCTTGACTTCCGTGCTTGGACTCCTAGCTGCTCGATAAGCATTGTGCCGGAGTCCAGCGACTGGTTCCTGTGGTTTTTATGGCAGCCCTCGAGACTACTATTCCGTCGGCATGCTTTCGTTCTACTCTTACTGCTTGAACCACGAACAAAATGCGACCCTGTTTAATACCGACTTACTAGCATGAGAGCCTTAGATGCTTACAGGAAATTAGACAGCTGGTATTTACTGTAGGCCAGCCCATTTTGATTTAATGCCGATGTCTCATCCATGCCGATAAAACGGAAAAGCTGAAGTAAAATACTGGTAGCGCTGTTGATATACTCAGCGTGATTTAATGCACTCTAGACCTACGAAGAAAGTTTATATTATGCTGAGTAACCACATTGAAATATGTACGAAGACGCTCGAGGGAATTGACGCAGTCCATATACGTATCAAAAACAATACTATATCCGGAGATACCCAGCAAATACAACATTGAGTAGATCTAAACTGACCAGGAATGAAGTGCTGTGTGGTACCCAGTTAAACCACGGTAAAATAAACTTCATCACCAAAAAAGGAGTAAAGTATACAAAAGCTACTGAGCGGACATATATGCTCCTGTATGCCTCGACTACGTGGAGATCAAGAACCACGAACGATACAGACGTTAAAACGTCCCATCTATCTCACATCAATCACCGCTGATGATGAATTCTTAGTACCCGATCAGTATAACAATGCAACGCACAAAGAACTCCCTACTATCGAGTTCACCGCTCCTGAATTCGAATCTGACAAATTTCTAACCATGGAAAACCGTTCAATTGAGAAACAAATCAGAAGTTTCACTGCTTTCTATATACCGATCACGGCCTTTAGAATCGAACGTAGAATCAGGCACAGTAGTATCACACGTATACCCCTCCCTGCCTATCTCACGCCCGTCACTGCTGATGATATATTAGTAACAATAGATTAAGATAACAATGCGGCCTATAAGGAACACCTTGTCATCGAACATGCTTCTCCTGAATGCAAACCTGACGAGGTTCTAACGGCGGAGAAAATTTCAAGGAGCAAATCAGAAGTCTCGTTGTTTTCTATATGCCGGGTGTAATCTTTAGGTTCGAATGTGAAATCAGGCACGATGGTATCACACGTATTTCCATTTTAATCCCCGCGCTGACACCGATAATGTACAAGAAACTCACGGATCAAATAAAACCGATACGGTGGATTAAACAGCCATTCATCTTCATTCCGAAGTCAACGGCATCACAATTCATATTTAATTCAAAGTAATGCCGAAATGCCAATGGACATGCATGGCGAAAGTGTACGTCTTTCACAATTAATGATATCATCCTTCGACTGGCATAGAGCTCATTTATTTGCGCTGGATAAAACGGGCTTCGTTAGCGATTTGTCCCGAACTCCAAATATATCGAGTGTTTCTCCTCTCCCTGCGATTTACATACATTACATCCCTCCACCCTTAAACTTTATCCCCATTTTTACCCGTGGGGTGTTCCAATTGGCGTGTTTGTTAGATCGGGTTATGTCATGTGTTTAAAACGCTAGCCGCCAAAACAGGTTCGCCCTCTCCTCCACCGCGTTGTTTGCGAGAAGTAAGGTTAGCGTTCGCTTATTCACAAGGTATGTAAGTTACAAAATACCCCACACAAGAGTGCTAGTGTCAGTTTAGGTCACAGATGCCCCTTCTTAGTATTGAACATAATAGGAGAGCCGAAGAACGTGTACGGGGGATTTTTGCAGCGGATTTTGACCTGACTTCCGTCGATGTCAGTAGTAAGGAATCTTATAACCGGGATGTCAATGATTACGACGAATGGTACTCGCATCCGTGCATCTACGGTTTGCTGGAACTTGAGGTAGTAGCCAGTCAAAGGCTGCGAATGGCAGAAATCCGAGCAGGACAAGATCTATTCTACCAAGCTCAATTACAAGCCCTTCATAAGGATGAGGCATACTGGGACATGTGTGCGTTGTTGTCGTTGTGTCCGGATCCATAACTCAGTTACAAATAGGGAAGTCGTGTAACTCTCTGCGATTGGCGAATGTCTCATTGCTTTTGGCCGCAAAGCCCGACACTGTTCCATTGCCCGAGATGCGTTTCCCCTTGGAAATCCAATTTTTGTTCATTTCCGCTTGTGCGGCCACTCATGGTGAACTCAAAAACCTCTGTTCTGTCTGCAAGGCCTGGAACCAAGAAGTATTGACCAAGTGCGCCTTTTTTGGTTCCCTGGTCTTCAAAAATAGACAGAACGATGCGCGAGCTTGCCGCCGAGTCGAATACTGGCTGTGTTCCTCCATCCGCTCCCTCGGTGTCGAAGACACGATAACATCCATTACCCTGTATAAGTGGACGATTGACAGCCACTGTTGGTTCCTTCACGTTCTTAATTGTGTTACCGACGTGAAAATTATCAGCTCCGGTCGTTGGCCTTGGCTTTACTGTCTCCCGAATACAGTCCAGAAGCTCCTTGTTCGAGACACCGATATCCGCGTATGTCCGGGTCTATACAGGCTATGTGATGACTACAGCCGTCTTTCGTGTCTGATTTTGGATAGAGTAACCACTCCCTTCATTGCCAGTGCCTGTTTTATGCCAACACAACTTATCACTGACATCGCCCGTAGGCTGATACGACTAACGACAGGAATTCTTGGGACGGAAAAACATGGAGAGCGGACCATGATGTTCTTGCGTCGCCTTTCCCTCCTGTCCCAAAGTACTCGTGTGTCCTATCCGAGCTCGCAGTATATGATGACGGACCCCGTTATGCCAACATCGACCACATTATCGATGGAATCACGGGTCCGTTAGAAGAGATCCTAGTGGCATCTGATGTGAATACAGCTTGGCCACGGAGATTGGATGCAACCGAAGTGTCGACATTACGACTGGGTTTTGGGGATTCAGTGGATATCAACCCCGATGTTTGGAATGTGTGGAGTTTGTGTGTACATGATCTCACAATTGGTGGTAAGCATGCATCAACGGATTTGGGCAAATTCTGAATTACGTGGATTGCAGCTACCGATGACGACCATGATGCCGTCGTGTCTCTTGTAGACTTTATTCATCTGGATGACTTACATCTAGAGATGGATTTGGGTTCTAGATCCTTTCTCTGGGCCTTACAAGTTATCCGAACGTGGAGCGAGTCTGAAAAGTCGTCATTCGAGTTGGTCATATATGACGATAAGGCCTTAGAGAGTATTGACGAGCGGCGTTGCACCCTTGAGGTCCAGGATGCGGATACAGGGTGGTGGTCGGATTGCGATAGTTGGCAAATCTGGTGGAATTTTTTCACTGACGCCTTGCTGGAGGGGTTCAGTCCCTGCTCCGAAAACCATGGCACACGTTTCCATGGTAAATTTGTAGTGACTTTTATCACTTCGGAAGTGTTGGTTGGATTACCTCCCCCCAGTTCACACTTCGCTTACGCTGGCAAACTACTGGAGGCATACCGGATGCGTGTACGATGGTTAAAGCTACAGGAACCCGAGACGACCGTTCACTTATTGCCCTTCGAGGCCTACAGAAGTTTTTAGCTACTTTATTCTAAATTAAATTTTTGAGTATATGTGATTAGGACTAAGCCTGCGAGTCGTTTCAGCCTGCAAGGTCCCATACCGGCCGAGAGGTAACTACTCCCTATCTAACCGTTGAATCGCTAAACGCCATACGTTCCCGCCATTTCGATATTCGAGCCATGTGTTTTATAATACCTTTAGATTTTTTGTGTCGTATTTACAATCAACCTCATGAATGTTTATTTTTTGATTCATACCTGGTTGTCAGATTTTGGGCCCAATAAAGCATTAGTATAATCTGTAAAGTCGCGAAAATATACCATGTTGAACAGAGCACTGGTCCTGTATTAATTAAGATCTTTAAATTTCAGCAAATTGAAATCAAATTGATGTGGCTGTGTTTCTTAGAAGCATGTCATATGACTTATTCACGACACGGTGTTTGTTGACTGCTTCTGTTTCTTCCTACCACCACTGATTGTATCGGCGACGAGGTGCGCTCAAATCCTCAGAGTTGGTTTCAGCCTGCTCAATGAGGCAGACTCCGAGCAGAAAAGCCACAGTATGGTCGGATTCTGCCCAGGATCCAGCATACTGAGGAGCTTCTCCTCAGATTCTGCCGCACTCAACACGGCTGGTACTATTTCCTCGTGTTCTTCCTATGAATCTTCGCGTTCTCAAAGCATTTTCCTAGTCATACAATGCTGTGGACCCTCAAAGTAAGCCCTACATGCATGATACAGTTATATATACTAACATTTGATAGACTCGCGCCCGTTATTATTCCGGTGTCTTGAAGGCTCTACCAACACCACCTACTCTCATTCTTCAGGACCTCCTCAAAACGTCAACTGCCTTCGAGAATGAAAACATATGTGAGGACGTGGATGACCTCGATGAAGCCTATACTTCTGCAAGTTTGACTGCGGAAGCTAATGGCGTGGCCTCTGTGCATGGTGAGGCTCAAATTCTTAACGGCATCGACGACATTTCTCTCCCAAAGTCCCCACGAACCATTGCTTCTCCCATCGACCCACATGCGACCCCGTACTGGGTTAGCCATCGAAATTTTAAGCGGTCCAAGCGACGCCAGGACAGAGATCCATATCCGAAACCTACAGACAAAACAGTCAGTAAGATTGTAGCAGGAGCTCTTGCGCGAGCTACTGCAAGCCACGTTCTTGAGAGCACTGTCCAGCTCTCGACCCTCCCGGTGGCGCGTGGAGGCTATGCGGCGAAGGCAGAAACTCCGTATGGTGCCAAGAAGAAGTACACCGTCGAGGAGCTGGTGAATACTAGAGGCTTTCAATACGTGGCTTGGGACGGAAAGTACGCCGCTATTGCTTACAGCACTTGAAATCTTTCTAACAAGTTCTATGTAGAACACCACGGCCTATTATCGATATGAACGGCACTATATTCGCTGTTTTGGCCGGCCGGCCAGATGATCCAACTTATCTCGAAGCAGCCAACAAAATGTTCAACGAAATGGAGGCAGAATCCAGCGCTACTAACATCAAGGCAAAGTCGAAACAGCCTCATCGCCGTGGACTGTTCACTGCTGTTAATGTGGGGCTATCATACGGCAAGGGGCAGCCTGAACCCTCGATGCTTAACATCCAGGATGATTACCAGGACTTCATTAGACGACTCATTCTCCAGCCTTCAGTGCAGCGAATTGCTGCTTTTGCTAGCGGTGAGGTCGTTTCATAGACAGATACCTGTTGCTTAACGCTGATTCTTTCAATTTAGCATCGTTCCAATTGTGGGGCCCTCGATTGTTTGCATACTACAAAGACCATCTAGACCGTCTCCATCTACAGCTTGGAACAGCACCCTTATTCTCACGATCTATCTTTCCCTGTGCCGCTTTCAACTTTGGCGGGAACGTATGGACCTTTAAGCATAAGGACGTGCTGAATTGTCCCTTTGGATGGTGTGCTATTACTGCATTAGGGAATTTTGACCCAACGGCTGGTGCTCATCTCATCCTCTGGGAGCTGAAGATGGTCATTGAATTTCCGCATGCCGCTACTGTCTTCATCCCTTCTGCGACAATCACTCACTCTAATACTTTGCCGGCTTCTGGGGATCGACGGGTTTCGTTCACTCAATTCTGCGCTGGAGGACTCCTTCGCTGGGTTGATAATGGTTTTCGTACGGAGGAGATCTTATATCAAGAAAATCTAGAAGCATATAGACAGATGCAAGAGGCAAAAAACACCCGCTGGGAGCTAGGACTTAGCCTGTATTCTTCTGTAGATGAGCTTTTGTCGCCAGTGTCTGAATAGACGAATGTTTTAATATATTCGGCTCTAAGCTATAATATTAAGTTAGGAGAAACCGCCATCATCAATTTTTGCAGGTGTGGTTCCTGACCTCTCTCACGCGAATGGCCTCCGAGTGGGTCTGGCGATGCCGTACATACTTCAGAGGGGCCTTATTCTGATGGGCAATACGCATATTGCACGAGTTATGTGAGTAATGTCCTAGTGGAAGTAGAGGCTGCGACGTTTCTTTGCTACCTGCTCCAGGCATCGACACACGCCGGCAGTGCTTCATAACCTCCAATGTGCTAGAGTGTGTTCAATTCCCTGGCAAGGCTATTGTTACATGGCCGACGCTTCCATGTCGCAGTACCCTTCCCCTGTTCGCCCCGATATTCATAGGCGCATACTTCGTCTCTGCCTTAGCATCGTCCAACGCAGGCGTTTCATGTAGCTAGCTAGTACACAATATGTTTTCCTTATGGAAAACAGTGCCTTAGTTCTAATATTTCACCTTGCCATCGCCGAGGCCGTAAGGGAGTACTCATGATGGGGCTTTACCAAAGAAACAGAGCATGGCGTAGGTTTGGTCCCGTAGCAATTAGTTATTCCCATGGTAATATAGCTAACGTTATGCCTTCCCAGAGTAACTAGCTGCAATACGAACGCCGTTACGTTTTTTAAGGAGGCACCGACGTCTAATAAACAAACTTCCTTCCGTATGTCAAACTAAATTAGGACATTTTTACGGCTCCTGAACCCCGTACCTTCTCTGCCGTTTATGTGCTCTTGATCCACCTTTTTATTAAACGGCTACTTAAGATGAGCTAACCTTTCAGTTTTTCTTATGATGGGATTCATTTTGCTTTCCACTTCCCGCCGTCGGCTTCAATATATTTCATATGCTAACCACAGTTTCTCATTTTCCGGATAATCTTTTTGTCAGCATCTTCAAGCGCTGAAGCTGAAGTCCTAGCCATAACTGTTGCGTATCCATGTGAAACAATTCAATACAAAGCCCTATACGTACTATTTCGTTTTATACCAAGACTACCGGCCATCGTAGGCGCGCGCGGCGGGCCGATTACTAGATGCAAATCCGAATTCGAGGCGGGTCTGCACACGTGAAGGTAAGCCCATTGTCTGCATTGGATAAATCTCATGCTTTACATTCTACACCTTTATCCTCATGGTTTCAAAACATCTCGCACGCATTGTTCCTCCCAACAAGCTCTGGGTTTTCTCATGATTAATACCAGTACGCAAGACTGCTGAAATATTGGTAGTAGCATTGTCAGAATTCTATATGTCGCGAGGAATATAACTTTTATGTCCGACCATAGCTTCAAAGACAAAATTTGTTACCTGGTATTGCGTCGGACGATGCAATTTACCACGTATATATGTACATACACCAAACAATGAAAGGGATATAAAAACAGTTTTGGAATACGATTATTTCAGTAAACGGTCAAACTTTTTTAAAATAATCTGCCCTGCTAAATTCCCGCATCTTATACGCCTCCGCCTGGTTCGCAACCTTTTCACTTGTTGGCTCGACCACCAAATTGAGATCAGTATATGGTACTTGAAGTTCTACGTTCAGATACACCCATCTGCCCTCCTTCTTCCGTTCGGTAACTCGCACATCCCACCATGTTACATCGTTGTGGCGAAAATAGCGCAAACCCCGAACGAGTACACCGCAATGTTCACCTCGAATAATTACCCACAACGAACCATGCTGATTTCTAGGCATGGGATGTCGAGGCAGTATCCTATGAGGCTCGATAATCCCACCTCTTAATAGACGCAATTGCATACGATTTTCATGTCGGATTAGAGACCCTCGACACTCCCGCCCGCCTACCATCACACGAACTTTCAAATCACCTATTGCTGCCATGCGTAAGTCTTGTGTCCAATGGCAATAAACGGAAGACTCTTCAGCTGGTACGTTTTCCCCAAGTGCCGCAGACGTATCAGCTATGGTAGAGCAAGTCGAGTTATGAGGGAAACTGGAAAACGGATTCCAAGCTGGAGACAGGGAGCCTTCTTCTGCTGTAGGAAGCGGAGTTGTGGAACGGGCTTCTTGGTGATGACTAGTCGAGCTTGTATCAATGGGAGGAAGAAATCGTTGTTCAATTAATGAATCTGGTACCATCGCCAGAGGCAAGTGTGTTCTAAATTGGAGATTTGAGCAAACGGTAAAAGGACGGAGGATTCAAAAAAAAAATAAAGGCACTTACTGTGCGTCTACCACTTCTTTATATGGAACCCACATTTCTGAAAACCCCCCGCCTGTTTCAGGAGAGTAGCTCGCACGTTGAACCAACAACATTACTTGTAAATCGGGAATATATCTCGGCGTAGCACCCATTCCAGGAACTATTAATCCAGCAATAGTTGTAGGAGATTTAGTGTGTGACGAATGAAATGCGGAGGTCTTCGCTTCATAGACGGAGTGGTTTGTATCCAAGCATGAAGATCTCCAATGCGTTTTTTCAACCCTGACATCCTTGACGAATACCAGCAGCCCTCGAAACGGACTACCTTGTTTAAGTACGACCCCACACATTCCCACCCAGGGAATGGAACTATATGAAATGCATGTGGATGCAGGACGGATAGATTCAAGTGCAGATGACGAATTGTTTAATCGATTAGAATTCCATATCCGCACGCTGTTAGGATGAACTGACAATCTGCTGTAAAATAATAAATTAGTAACTTAAAATCCACAACGCAGATAAATGCCATTATCGTTCCACCGGCTTTCTTCAGGTAGCGACAATCGAAGAGAAAAAAATAAAATAACGCTGAGTACTCACTTCAGCTGTTTGCTCCTTCTCTTGACCCCCACCCAACACAATCAAATGAAGCACGTTTAACTCAATAACATCCACAAATCCACAAATATTACCCTTAACCACAAATTGACCTACTTTAAAAATCTTCTCGATTGCATGCCATTCTTTCACAATGAACCTTCCGGAATGTTTAATGTCATCGAGCTCGAGATAAGTGTCATGAACGTCGACTATAGTGCAAGTACGACTTCCACCGTCCTCGAACAATTGAGAAGAATGTTGGCTTGAACAACCGCGAACGATAACCGACTCCCCCAAGTAGAAATTCCAGCTCTTTGGTCGCGGAGTTCGATGCCTATTTCGAGCGACCAATGGATGTTCGCTCTTGATGAACAAGTGCAATAAATTGTCATCGATGCAGTTAACTGGGCGCAGACAATCGAATGGAACGGTTTCTCACAGCAAGCCGTATTCGTAGTCTTGACCTCTGAAGTCAAAATGCGTGTCCTCTACTATTTCTCGCAACAACTCTTCGCCATGGATGATGGCCATTTTTGTGGCATCAAATAGCATAGGCTCCAACGACTGGACTGGGTAAGTGTCATATGCGCCCTTTTGCAAAGAAAGCATTGGCACCATAAGAATGTCGTACCCGGGCTGATGGGTATCTTCTGACGAACCAATGACAAAAACAGGCCAGCCCATAGACGATCCGTATCCAATAGTGCACCAGCGATCACCGACAGGTAAATCAGGTTCGCGGTATTTAGGCACATACGTCATTACCTTGTGCCACTCACTGTAGTCCACCGCATTTAAAATGACACTATCGTTGAAGACAACTATGCCAGGGACAGTCTTAAGCCAGTCTTTGAGGGCTTTAGACATCTGCGCTTCCAGGTAGACGCAATATGGATCGGAAGGGATTGAAATCACCGCTCGTACGAGCATCTGAACGATTGGAACATATTCGGAACATGAGAGTATGTTGGCCGCAATGTAACGGCCTCGGAGACGCTAAAGAAACGAACCAAGAAAAAAAAAATCAGCATGCTATTAAAAAAGTCAAACGCTAAAAGGGCTGTATACCCTGCATTTCATTCTCCATATATACGATTCGTCGATCGAAGCATGATTTATTAATGGACCGGCTGCAAGACCAGTCTACAATAAAGCACATCAGAAGTCGGACCAATTACACAAGCTTCACCAAAACGAACCATGTTGCAGTCCTCCGCACCATATTGATTGCAATTATCAAGCTATAGATCATAAGAAAGCTGACTTCAATGAAAGTTACGTGCACATACCGAATCATTGCCGTCTATAGATCTCTCACCAAACTCAGTATCCCAGCGCCGAATGACATCAGACAGATAGGTCGGTCCGATACGTTCACACGTAGTACTGGTTATAGTATGTTTTGGAAGATCTGTATTATCTGCTTCATCATCTTGTGCAATGAATTGATCCAGTTCTTCATCGTCAGCTGATTCTTCTTCACAATCGTCATCCAATGCTTCCATATCAAGAAAGAGATTTCGATACTGCTAAGTAACAAGGTTATCAATACGTATAGACCATTGAAACGCACTCACTATGTTCGGTTTCGAGTTAGAGCTTGTTACAATCCTTCCCATAGGTGTATTCCGTGACTGCTGTATATTTTCTTGGCCACTGACTTCATCAGCATCTTTGTCAAAATCATCCGAGAGTGTGTCATAAGTTGAACTCTATAAGATTAACAATTGAAAGAATGAAACTTTGTATCATAGATGTAATGAACGAACACCCTTACTCGACTTTCCAAGGTAGTACATCCGTCATCGACATCCTTAAATGCCTCTTTGCTTTCTTCACGTTCGATTAATGCGTGGGCCTTGTTTTTGTCTGTTTCCAATTGTGCAGCTCTTGCAAGACCTTCTTCATACATCTGTCTCCACTGTTGACAATAGCTTTGAGTCATAAAAAAGAAATGATTGCCGATACTTACCGCTATCATCTCGGTTGCTTTGGTCCTAGCCATGGCATATAAGAAGTCCAAACGATGCAAATAGGTAGTTCTACAAGGAAACCGATAGAATGTCAGACTGTGACGATTCGGTAGAGGTGAGCAGACTCCGCATCAAAAAATCAATCCCATATATGCCACTGTGATTAATACGTAAAATGAACTGTTAAAATGATCTGTAATCGAAGCACGTATTAACCATGTGACAGACGCGTTGACCGTTCCTTATGGCAGTCCCGGGTACCAGGCTGTATACGCAGGGGATTTCAGTGAACAGTTATCCTAAAGAGGCAGCAACAATTACGGGCTACTAATCCGACTCGCCATATACGCGTAGAAGTACCATCACCCAAACATTCAATCAGTTCCTCGCACTAATTTTATTTTATATGCTGCTGCAGCTTCCATGTGGGCTGAACAAAAAAAAAAGGACAAAACTTGGAAAAAAAAAACCGCGTAATACGTGCCTTATAATGAGAGGAAAAGCCGATCGCTCAGTCATATTCTGACATACTTCGCATTTCTTTACTAGCACAAGGCTTTGGCCGATATAGGATTTGGTCCCACATTGGTTCGTTATATGCTCCGTAACGATTTTCGTCGTACAGCGCATTGTTCATTACAACAATGGCGGGTATCCGACGTCGATATATCATCTTACAACACCTAGTACATGCGCGAATTTTGGGAAAGCAATCCATCGAGAATGTGAATACACCGAAGATGGAGAAGGATGGAGAAGGTAAGATAAGGGACTGACATTTTCTACGAAGAACAGGAGGAAGCGCTGAGACGAGACGGGGAATAAAAAAGAGTGAGACTATCGTAACCTTTCTAACGATATCAAGAGGCGAAACCAAATGAAGCATTGTCAGTTCAGTATACGGACGAAAATAAACAGCTGTGAAGCTCTAAAAACAATAACCGTACTTTAATATTTCCACATCTTCCCATCAAAATCCAGTGTCATGTAATATCCCTATGCTCGAAGATAGTCGACCTAAAGACTTACCGTCTAGATCGGGAATGGAATCGCGAAATCGTACTCCATAGTCCGCCGTTCTCATCTCTCAGTTTCTTCGATCCCAACAACCTTCATTTCAACCAGCACCATCACATTGAATATTCCGTATCTTTTTTCCTCGTCTGCTATGGCATAGGGCACAACGTAATATCCGTAGCCATATTCGAATGGGACTTGAATACGCACTGTTGGTTTCTTCATCTTCTTCAACATATAAACACTGTTCGTATTATCGAATGTCACTTATGGTATTGGCTTTATTGCATCCCATCGAGCACCACCAAATTGGTCATAAGGAAGGCTGAAAACCAGGTACTTCCGGATCCATACCGGATGACCATGCATAACTCACGTCTTTCGAGTCTCACATTGGATAATTAAGCGTCCCTTGCACTGTACATACTGCGACCGATAAAACTATGATTGTTTTCTACTAATAAGGTTACAGTTGAGCATATTCCAAAACGAGGAAGATGAAAATCGTCTGCTGTGAGATGCTGAACATGAGCTCGATCGATCCAAAATGTCCCTTACATCGTACGGACCAATCACGCTTAAAGAGTTAACGAATTACCATGATTTGGATGAAATTGCTCAAGAGAGTGGATACAAACCGATCGATGAATTATTGTATATGCTAGTAGGGAGGGGGATTGCAGATCTCTCCGAAGACAGACTGGATACCTCTGCTCTTCGAATGAATGGTACCGCCCTTAATACTTTGCGCTGTGAATTTAGCAAGCATGCATTCCTTTTCATCCGACCAAATACCTGGGAGTATCTGATGAATAGCTGATCGATTCGACTGTAAAAGGTACACGGTTGAGCGGTACCAAAAGCTGTGTGTAATACTGTATGCTCATTTATTACCAAGAGAAGAAATCCTATGGCGCTCCTACAGATCCAAAACTTCACATCAATCTCTAAACGTCGCATTGAAATAAGCCTAGAGAAGGACGAATGCGTATCATGGCCACTGAACATTGCACGTCAATGGTCTTGTCATAGGAAAACCGATTTATACACACACACACACACACACACACACACACACACACACACATATATATATATATACGAAAAACAGCCCTGGTCCTTGATGGATATGTATTTTTGCAATCTGCGCATATTCGCTAATTCTCTACGAAAAAAAAGCTAGTATCCAACATTCATCACTACTTTCTACGATGGCAAATCGTGTTTATATATCCCCCACCCTGCTACCTTACGGGCATATAGTACCATTTTAGATAGATTGAACATATGGTTAAAAACACGATGAACAATGATACGATAAATGTAGTGGTGTCCTGATAGCAGTACCAATGAGACGAACGTTGAAACTCCGAAGAACCGTCGGGGAAGCGGTTAGTGGTCGCGGCCAATGAAAACGATTGTCAAACATAGTGATTGTTACTAGTTCTCAGCACTTACCCATCATACGCGATATTTACTAAATGCAGCTGCGAATAACTATTTGTCAGTGTTCATTGATATAAGTACATTACTCCGTATCCCTCTTTACATACATATAGCTATCGATGTATCAACTCTTTCTCGTAGTAGTCCACTCCCACTTATGGTCCTTTAACTGGAATTGAGTCCGCGAAAATCAAGTCCATTGAGCTCAAGTTCATCCCACATATCACCGCTAGCGGCAATACATACATTACACGCTAGACGTCGGATTGATAGCCGGAAGATCGCCAGGAACAATGTTCGAAACATAGTTACCACCCACAAATCCCGCCAATCGTATATCGTGACCCATACTTCGTAATTCCGCTAATCGGGTGATCACTTCCTCATCCATGCGAGGAAATTTGAGAAATGGGCTATCGGCATCAATTGTCACTGCAAGATGGCTCAAGATATCGGAAGTTGGGAAATGACGTTGTTCCACCATGTGCACCAAATCGTCACAGGCAAAACTGATATCATGCCAGCCGATATCCAAAGGATGGGTGATAGAAACGATGAAACGAGCTAAAGCAGGAACCATGCAATGAATATCCGACGCATCAATGCCAATGATAAGACCCAGAGCGATGATGAGGTCATGTATAATGACATCATACTCCCTGGTACCATCGATTGTAGGTAAAGGATAGCATCTCCAACAACGGCAATTCTGATAGAACGTCGAAAATGGATCCATCGATTACAGTATCGTTCACTGACAATTCGGTCAGATAAAAATGGCATTTCGACCTTAATATCAGGTCGTGCACAGCGGGCAAGCAGTCGTCGTCGGTAGTGGTGATCATGCTATTAGGAGGGTTGCTTTCGATGATAATAGTCCTGACCATAGGCAATGAAACGCTTCTAAACAGAGACCCCTGTGAAGCACAGAACGTATATATATTGGGACACTCCACCGGTCCCATTGAATGAAACAAAGTCGGTGGATCTCGTTGATATACTGCTCGGAAATACCACATATCGGGTGATGCGTATAGCATGTGAACAATGGAATCGTGAACGTTTCCAGTGACATAGCAATCCCGCACATCATCGTAAGATGTGATGTTCGCAGGAACATCAAATGTGGTTCCGGCGTCAAAACCTGTAAAGATTACGTCCTGGAGCTTCGGCGCCACAGCGAACGCGTCGACATGATGAGGGGAAGTGATATCGCCAAAAGAGTGGATAACGCATCTCCAAAGAATAGGCATGCGACCCCTAAGGACCGAAAGCAACGGTATGAAGGGTTCAGGCAAATAAAAATTGATATCCTGAAGCCGTTGCGATTCAGCGAGGATCATACGCAATGCCTCGGTAAGGGATGGTACAGCGACTTCATCATCTGATGCCATAAACATCACTGTGAGAGGTTTCCAGCTTGGACCGACTGCAGCGTCATGGCAGTCAATTCAGCCCAGCACTTGGTGTGACCAGGAGAAGCACTCGGAGCTACCACTATCGCGAAATGAGTCCAAAATTCGGTACACATATCAATAGCAATATCGCGCCATTGACTGGCACACATGGGAAATGACAAAAGCGAGCGCTGCCTTCTCTCCGACAGCGTGGCTATAGCCCAGATTACGATAAATTTGTGCAAACACAACGATCCAGATCTCTGAAGGTGTGCGACGAGCAGCCAGCTCAATGGGTAAAAATGCAGGCATAGCCTGCGTCGTGCAGACTGTACAAACGGAAAAGTCTATAACTAGTTTCATACGGAAGTAAGACTGTAACCGACCTTCCAATGAGTCTGTAACGAGAATGTTTTCATATGAACTGACATCCGTGTTGGTTCGCTAAAACAACAATAACAGCAATCAGCTTGGCATGAGCAGTACATTCGTAAGGTAAATATTCACCACGAGAACAGATAAATTCGTTGAATCCAGCGCTTCATTATCTGATTGGATATTCTAGACGGCAATAAGTAATCTGTCAGCAAAGAGTAACAATACGCACGTCTTGAACTGTTACTTACACCTGCTATAAGTTGTAATAAACAAAGAATCATGGTGTTCCTCGAGACCACTTGCAACCTAAGCGTTGAATCATCAGAATCGAATGATCATAAAGAGAAAATAATACGGTATGTACGCAATTAACACTTACAGTCTGAATATCCTGATGATCAGGTTGAGTCGTTACCGAAAGCTGTCCTACAACATTCCTTTCATCCTACACAATATCATAATCAAACTAAACATATAACAATCAACGCCGCTAGCAAGCACATACCTGTATATTTGCTGTCGCATCATGATTATTTGAATTAAAAACTTCTTGGGGTACTGCCATCGTATGTGTCGATGTCTCTACCTAAGGGCGGGTATGTCCAGTTTCATTTTGTCAAAGTATTTATACACGTCCAACGTACCTTTTCTAAATGGAAACCATCGCAAAAACCCACGTCAGAAGGGACGGAACGAAAGCACCCATATTAATAAGAACCAAATCGTCAAAAGCCCCTATCACCCTTTATTCTTTGTTTACAATTATATATGATTATTATTATTGTTATTATTTTGTATTTCGTAAACCAAAAATACAAAAGAAGTACGGATAGAGGGAAGCTTTATTGTTGACCATATCTGGGCTTACAATGTAACTCACCGTAGATCTCGTCAGGCTACGATCTGAAATCCAAGTGCGAAAGAGCTTGCTGTCTGATCTTGGAAGTCTAGCACCAATACAATTACCTGACTTCGCCCAAAAGCAATAACTAAAGCTCGCCATTGAGCAGTTCAAAAAATAGCCTAGAACCTTATACGTTCCCATGCTAGATACAAGTGAGCCACTTTATTCCCTACAGACTCACTTTATGTCTCAATCATATGATAGCGCAACCTGCTACGTCGTACCTGCTGCCTTAATATGAATATACGTCTAAATAAAGATTTTACCATCCATCAGTACGTGTATTTCACTTATAAATATCAGATTATTGGTTAATTTAGCGTGCAACGAGTAAGCACCACATCTTCTTACACCGATACATCTTGTATTACTATTGAATAGGATTTTTACCTTTTTTTATTCTGGTTCTTCCCTAACGGTGTTCGCTTGTTTTAGTTGGAACAGACCTACATGACGCCGTATGTTTAAATGGAGAGTTCTTGTTCTGCATGCTTCTCTGCTTTCAGTACAAGTCGATGATAGCTGAGATGGGATACTGAAGAACGGTTTATCACGATCACATTCATACATAAGATCTGATAGGTAACCTCTTGAAAATAGTAATACATCGTCATTATCACTATTACTGGCATATACCATCTCTTTAGCTCGTAAATAAAGGCGAACCTAAGCCATAAACATTCAGCAATGAAAATATCTAAGTTCAGAAAGAACATCAATACGAGTTATAACTAATTAAACTAACCCCCGTTGAAACCTCTCCAGTGTACCCTTGTATTTTCTGAAGTTGTTATACGACGTGACAAACCTGTAAGTACCACCATACAGAGATTGTTCTTCAACAAGAGGCGGTTCAACAAGAACTGTCTTTGATACAAATGCGATATGAAGATCACCTCCGAAACCACCAGTCAATGAGCCACGTTCGAAGTAAGGGAAAAATCTGTTTTCAAACTCCAACCATCACTCAGGCCAATCTTTACAGTGCTCGGCATATCCCCGCCGATCTTGATTGTTATGCTCGCTCGATGAAACATCCCAAGGTGCGTCATGATGGATATAAATCCAAATCCCCTCTTTCAAACGATATATCCAAGTTGACACACATTCCATCAACCATGAAAACGTGACCGAAAAGTGATATTTGAACCGAAGAATATGGAGACGCTTGAAACATTCAATGTCGATAAACATAAATCGATTTAAACCTGATACTACATCGACGAAAGATGTAAACAATAAATAAATTCAAGTCCTGCCAATGACAACTCACCTCCTACAGTCAAATCAGTGACATGTCGACCAAATTGTTCCCATGCCTGCTGATCCGCCATCGTTGCATCTCCAAAATGGATACGTAATCTGGTGACAAACCGTCTGTCTATTCCTCTGTAGAACGATTCGTCGGTTCGAATGTGTAGCGGGAGTCGTCCTTCGATATCACCGCCCATACAAAAGATTGCATACTGAAACAAGGACTGTCCACCAATCGGATCCATAAATATTTCGTTATCTTGGTAAATTGCCAACTCTGACAACACAGCCGTTCCAATATTAAAACTGTCGCCGACAGTATTCGAGAAACCATATCTCATTCGCCAAAGCTCGATGCTGTCATTATGGAGATTATCGCGAGTAAACTGTAGATGAATTGATATTACTTCAGACAGATTTTAGAATATAACTTTACTAACCATGCCTAGAACCCGTATCAAATCAAGCATAAGACTACTTAAGCGACTAGGCTATTGGAGGAGATACTGGAAGCCCCCCACAAATTCGATGGAAGTTTTAATGATCATAAGATGGGTAAGGGTGCTGGGAAGGCAGTATAACCACCTTAATGTCCCGCATTCGATGATCCTAACATGAGTTATCGAGTTTAGCTGATGGAGGAACCAGCAATGGTCATCCAAAGTCCATCTGTATGTGGTAATACTAGTGACATGACTTTCGATCCCATGCTGAGACAGTAAGACGCCAACGCGAAATTCGACTCATCTACGCATAAATGAAACGTCCGTGCCGCCATCATTAGATGTAAAAAAGAGCCGGTGAAACAACGTTGTCCAACGAAGGATCTTATTATTCCAAGAACGGCTAACCAGCCACATCATCTTGAGCGAAGAAATAGATGAAACCATGCGGATGATATGCCATTGAAGTTCGGTAGCAAGTTTGGGACTGACGAGAGGGTTCCACGCCAATGCAGACATGACAGAATTACAACAAGCAGACTCGTCTGTAGAAGCAGCTGTATATTGGGCATAAAAAGGCTTAAAAGAATAGAAAGTAAACGCACTAGATCACGAGACATTTACCGCTTCCATGATTTTTCTTCGTCTACCAATATAAAAACCCCCCTGACCGTTGCGTATGTCCTTTAGACGATTTCTGATGAAAAAGAACTGTTGTATTTTAGAAGATTGTGCGAAATAACGACGGAGATACGCAGAGTCATACTGCTCGTCTTCAGGTGTATCCGACATGCAGAACTACTGGCAATAATGGACTGTCCACATCATTACTCACCATATTCATTTTTAAAATAATATGTTCTAAAATCAACATATGGATCGGTCGGACCGTTTATGACGTATACAAGGTTAAATATGAAAATTTTAACAAGGAATTATACTTTACCTAGTATTGACCCTGTAAATAATGTCGAGAAGGCATTGACAATGTGTACTATGCGTAGTCATATGCATGTACAATGGAAAAGACCGCCATTGAAACTTATATCATCAGAATCAAGCTAGAACAACCTCTGGGCTTGATATACCGTGTGGAACTTGTACATTGTTTCAATTTGAACCCAATCCAGATCCTCCAGATCTGCATAAATACATATAAGGTAGACCCAAGAACATACTAACACCTGCGAAGCTAGGCGGGAGCAGTCCGATGTGACGGGTATAACAAGCAGGGGTAAGTAACCAAGATACTTTGTTTCTTGGGGTTTGGGGGGATAATTTTCTCGTCGAGGAAGTGTTTTCCGGATGAAGGAAGAGAGGCCCTGATGAGAGGCAATTCGGAAGAGGGATTGTAATGTCATCAATCAAACGACAAAGAATTCAGATGTTAAGTAGATTAATGATTAAATGACGACTGAAGACGTAATCCGCATAACAATGTACCCAGACAATTACAACTAACAAGGGAGCAGGTGAGTAAGTAGGTTGCGAAAACAGAATTCTGTCGAAAGAAGAAACGATGATAAAACTAATGGAGACCGCAAACATTAGTATTACAGCAGCCTATAACCCATAGGTAAACAGCGCCGTTTCCCCGCTAACTTGGTATGGCTCAGCTCCTGCTGTTCGTTCCTCAAGTCGATTTTGAACCTTTTGTCAGGGTCGTCAACAAATTCTATTTAAATATTATCGGGATTTTTAATTAGGAAACATATGTGTAATTAACGTAACAGGTATATTTAGAAGCTGCCCAAAGGATAATACATTAAAAAGGAAATTGAATCTACAGATCAAGTACATTCGGAAATATATTCCGAGTGATCATAAACCTTGTCTGAACTGATCGGGCTTACTAGAATCTTTACAACCGTCGTGCTTGACCCTCTCTTTCATCCCATCGTAAAGTATGACATAAACGAATTCGAGGCCAATAATTGGTGCCTATCTTTGAGTGCTCATATAGATTATAAACCCTAGAATTTGAGGCGTCAATCAAAACAGCATTCAAGAATATTCTTGACTCCCTATATCGCTCTTCTACAGCAGAACACCAAGTACTCTCTATAAGTAAACTTAAGGCACACCATTAAAATATATTTGCTCTTTGCCATCTCGTCTTAAGACGGAGGGAAGCCCAGTTCATTCTACTACTTTACAAACGAATTCAACAATCAGGGCACATGCCCCGTTTAAAATTATAATTGCCATGACGAATGCTCTGATAACTACTTATAAGTAAGCTGTACTATCACACTACAACGTATGTTCGCGAAAAATATGACAGTTACTATTAGATCTACGTTCACGAAACTGTATTATTTCAGACCTTGTTTCAATGTACAAACAGAGACGCTCGGGCTAATTTTAAAACAGACCAAATTTCTCTACTTTCGTCTATCCTTATGCGAATACTCTGACCAACTGTTGCCGTGAAAGACGGACCTGGTTCTAGCAAGTAGGAACAATGGACCATCTTTGTTATCCCAAGATGGAAATATATCATACCGACGAATGAACGATGGTTGAGAAGACTAGAACGACTAGTCACTAGCTTCGATTCTAGAAACTTAGAACCCTTATTCTACTATGGGAAACAGCAGCCGATCGAAGCAGGATCTGAACGATCGGACCGGCGGAAACAAGAAAAAAAAACAATAGAAGAACGCTAAAAGCCGACAATATAAAAGTAAATAAACCAAATATAGTCGGGAACCAATACGGAGCAGCGAGCGTTGTCAAGTTATATCCGGCCAACACAACAGCTTCGTAACGTTAATCACATTTAAACGATCCTTGATTCATTGTCAATTCCTCTGGACGCAAATAACCTTTCCAACACACTGTCTAATGTACGAAGTCATGAAAAATCTACATTGCCTACCTGATAAATACACAATGCTTTAAGCTTCACCGGGCTAGTGTCCAAAGAACTAGTTATATTTCGGAATGAGTATACACAGATTCAATGACTCTACAGTATCCTTAATACTCCATGATACACCTACTTTTTCTATGGGGAGAGGGAATAGACAAGTACGATATTATCCACGTAGACACCATCCACATAACCCGTGATACATATATCATGACCTATCCTACGACATTCAGCTAACCACGCAATAACATCGTCGGACATACGAGGAAAGTCCAGAAAAGGACTGTCCACTGTAATCGTAACGCCAAGTTTTCCTGAGGAACCCCTAAGTGGGTAACATCAGCTTTCCACCATACTCGTAAAGTGAGGACAAACAACCCCGACACTACCTCGTCCGTTATCCAAAAGTTTGGAGGCAGTAACAATAAGCTGACGCAGAACAGGCATCACGCAATGAGCACCAAGCACATCGCCTCCAACGGTAAAGGATAATGCAATGACAACATCATGAATGATGGCGTCGCATTCTTCGTACCATCGAGTAAAATGGAATGGCAAAGTCGTCAGACAAGGAAGTTCTGACAGAACATCAAAGATGTCACCGGTAAGACGAGTATCGTATACCGAAAATTGGGTCGAAGTCTTGTGGCACTGAGACCGGATAATGAGATCATATACGGCAGGTAAACAATCTCCGTCCGTAAAACCCAACACACTATCAAGACGTTCGCTTTCCACAACGACAGCGCGGACAAGGGGCAATGTCACACCCCGAAACAAAGCCCCCTGGGATGCAACGAATACACAGATACCAGGACATTCCACAGGAGGTCCTATGGAATGAAAGCGCCCCATCCAAGGACGTTGGTAGACAGCCCAAAAGTACCACATGTGCAATGAGAACTGTAAATGATGTACAGTAAGTTCATGGATGTCTTCACTGGCATGGCAATAGCGTACGTCCTCGTAAGATGTGATAGAGAGGTAAGGAACAGAGATTGTGGACCAGGAGTCAAAACCTAGCAAGGTGACGTCCTCCAGCCAAGGTGCCACTGCAAATGCATCAATACGATGCTCCGCATTTGTAGCATCACCAAAAATCCGGACAGCACACCTACGAAGAACGGGTACACGGCCCGCAAGCGTTGAGAGCAAAGGTATGAATGATGGAGGGAAATACAAATCGAGGTCCCTCAAAAATTGTGATCTAGCTGTAACCAGGCGAAAAGCTTCAACGAGAGACGGCATCATGCAAGCATCTTCTGATGCGATAAACATGATGTTAAGCTCTTTATCCTTGGAACGGCGTAAAGCCATGGACGTCAACTCTGCCTAGTTTTTTGTGAGGACTCGATTTTTGTCGAAACTATCAGCGATAGTCAATGTAGTCCAGAACTCTGCACACAGTTCGATAGCGACGGCTCGCCACTGACGGCATACGTGAGAAATGGCAAACGCCACGCTTCCCTTCCTCCCCACTTCGAATGCATATGCCGGTTCGTTATAGATTTCGGAAAATATGGCCAACAAAATCTCAGAAGGTGTCCGACGAACAGGAGGCTCCTAGACAGTAATATTGAATGCGTCTTGCTCCTGTTACTCGATGGGAACAGACAAAATAGGAAATGACCATTGACCAATAGATTCTTTAGCGTCGTCAGATTGCGATGAACCGACAGTGTCATTAGATATGTCAAAAGCTCCAACGGAAGTGGTTACTGAGCAGGAGCACCCACAGACCTAGCGAAGAGCATAATATCAGCTGACCGTCAAGTAGATATATTCAGCACACACCGGAGATAGAAGAATATCAGAGACTACATCTAACCCATCAGCCACTTACGTACCATACTGCACAGACAATGTTCATATTTTCTGATAGGTTCCATTAGATACCACGCACCTGTTGAACGACCAGATTCCCGATATAAGACATCGCAGGTGAAGAATCTTAAATGTGACAATAATTAACCGGAGTCTGGATTATCATCATCAATATACGGCACATTTATGGGTAAATAGCACTTACTACGTCAAGAGAAGGATGCAAGGATGAACTCTTCCTTCGCGTTCTTCACGCTGGACATGAACCTCGCTCATGACCTAGACTCAAAGTTATGAGTGATACGACGAAATTAAAGCAAATAGCAGTAGATGCCTTAGACGATCTTTTGTCATCCATTTTTGAATCTTTGGAGTATCGAATACAACAGCAGACAACGAGGTGGTTATTTGTACCTGTCATATTGTGACAATGTTTGCTACTGTATTTGTATACGTCGGACACACGCCATTCAAATTCGCATCTACCCTAGCATACCACATAATAATAATGACATTATCGACAGTCCCAGGCCTTTATGGCCGCGTGTTATTTGCCGCTTTCATTTTTTTCCCCTTTACCCCCAACTATACGCGTCCTTTTCTATATGCCATATAGGCTCCGCTACATTCAGGAAAAGTCCACAAACCGCAGTTCAAAATTGCCACCTACATATCACAAACTAGCTCGTTATAAAATACCCATTCGATTTACTACTCACAGTTATCTAATGTCCCAAACAAGTACAGAAAAAGAGGTATTAAGTCGAATACAAAAAACTCAGACCAAATTTGTCCATCAACAGTTCAGCAGCCGTTGACGCGAACATCACTACGACGTTCAGTATCATCCTACCTTGCTATACCTACTAAAAATACGAACCATGACGATCCATCAAATTTACATAATAAAAGCTCGCAATGTATGCGAGCACCCAGAGCGGTAAAGCGATACCTCGCACAACATCAGACACGAATTGTCCAGTTTCACACTAAGCCCACATGATCACTATAGTACCTTAACACCAATCAAGATACACGACTTTAGAAAGAAACGCAAGAACGCTAAACCATATGAAGGGTTTACCCAGTGTCGTATTACTGAAACCAAATTAATATATGTTTGCCAGTAGAGTCTGAGATGAAGTATATCCATCCAGATGCATTCACGAGAAGGTAGCAAGAAAGTAGGTAAGACGCTCCGTAGACATGATATAACAGAAAGAGACGAACATCAAAAATTACTATAGAGTCAAATATTCAAATCTGGACGGCAAAGCCTTTAGAATATTCAAACATGACAAAATATTAACTACAGCACGTAGATTCAATTTTTTCGAATCAAATCACCGCTCCCAATCCAGATACACATCAATACTTAATGGTCACAGTAAAAGTTTTGAATATTATCCACCTTCACAACAACATTATCACTCCTACACACCGTATCCCACTTCTGTTTGTCAAGACCCGTTGCATAAGAAAGAGGTAACCGAAGATCGATTCTTTTGATAGGAGGGAACGCACGATCTGTAGTACGCATGTACATTGCATCGATAAAATGGGCGTCATTCTCCGCGCTGAGATCGCCCTCATATCCAAAAGAGAGAGCGCGCAAGTTTCAAAGGAAGTGTGGATCCGTAGATATCCTCTGAAACAGGAGAGTGAAGTAATAAAATGTGTGAAAACAGAAGGTAACCACATTGGGCATAGTCTCTAAGAATGAGATCATCGCGGAAGGATCGGCGTCCGAATTATTTGAAGTATGACCAATGTGAAGGTGTAGCTCTGTTAAAGACGCGACTGCTGCCATGAGATGTGGAAAGGCAACACAGGAAGAATCTCCTTCAAAGGACAGCGTAAGCTGAGTGACCTGCGGTACCTCTATCTTGTCCCAAACGATCTGAATATCCGGCTGACTGACTGGATCCCGAAGGGTCAATTGACGCAAGGTTGGAATCCCCACAGGCTCAAAATCACCATCGATGTCCTCAAAATCGCAATTGCATACCAGCTCCAAGGATCCTAGCCTGTTCATCTGCGCTACCAAAACAAACACTGCAGTCCATTGCGAATAAAGTTGCGCAGAGAATCGAACGACGGAGTTAAGGGTGGAAGACGCGAACGAAAGGGAATGAAGCGGCAGCCCATTTACTCGCAGATGTTCGATATTTGGGGCGAAGGAAAACGCATCGAGAATAATATCATGATATGGATCATCTGTTTCCATATCCTCGAATAAATAATGGGATAGATCGCTGATCGAAAGGAATCGTAAGGCTTGAAAGGATCCTTTACACGCCGACAAAAACTGGTAAGACGATACTCCGGCTTCGACCGTCAAAGAGCGAAAACGATGAGAGAACGGGATAAGGGTGTGGAGTACATGATTAGCATTCAAATCTTCCGGAGATCCTTCAATGGACACATCGACATCGAATGGAACAGCTCGAAGAAGCTGTTTGGACAGAAGATAAGAGCTTCCAACTGAACCCGTATGCGCCTCTTCACCGAAATCAAGCTGTACTCTTTTCCACAGCCTTCCCATATTCATCACCAATCCCCTCCAACGGCCGCAGACGTGAGATAAAGTCCACGGCATCCCCCTAATATCGATGCTGTTCGTCGTCGACTCAATTTCGACGCACTGCTGGAAAATTTCCCCAAGAACCTCATCGGGGATTCGCCTGATTGGATGCACTATGGTCCGAGCATCCTCGACATTAATAACGGCGAGTGTCAGTTGGATTTCTATAAAGCGTACGACAGCCCGAAAATAGGCTAACGTCTGGGATAGGTGTTGAGTGTATTCCTGGCCACGATTCATCAAGGCTTGTAAATGAATCCGATCTACGTCAGATGGCAGAACATTAGATAGTAAGAGGTTCGCAGCTGGAGTCCCGCGGATCATATGCATATGAAGCGAAAGGAGCTGGTGAATTATCTCCTCGAGGTTCATATCCACCGCCCTAAACGAATCGAAATTTCCTCTTTCCTACGCCATGGAAAGCGAATACCAGAATATATGGCACAACCAACCCGGCAAGAACAGCAAATGAGAAAAAAAAGACAGAAAAAAAAATCGTATGATCAGTCAACTTCAGAATAAAATTGAGAAAGCACTTACCATCTTGAAGACAGATCAATAGATAGCCCGCAAGTGTTTTTCCCAAAAACGACTGCAACGAACTTTCGTTGTAAAGCGGTCAGCATGATACCAAACATGCACATACAATGAAAGATATTTCCAAGTTTTATGGGTTCACGAACAAAGACTTTAAAAGTATAAATTCTTGCTATACATATTCAATACACCATAATTGAAAAAAGCACAACCTGCTACAGTCTTGGAAGATAGAAGGATCGACACAATCCTTAATACCACTGTTAGTAAACTTCGGATCTCGATCAAAAAAGCCCCTATGTCTTTTCTTAATTAAGTATTTTCGCCTGCCAGATCGAGATCCAAATCCTTGCTCGAAATACAAATCCACCTACCGCTTAAAAAATCAAACCAAGTAAGAATTAGAAAAGTGTCATATACGCGCTAGATTGACACTCTTCTAGACCCCGATACTCCTGTTAATTGAATGTAACAGCAGTTAATAAGACAACGATGAATGTCGAGAAATGAATTTGGAAAGGCGACCATATTTCGAGAACAAGAAACAAATATCATAGTATGGATACATGTTACGTTTTATGCCGGAGTAATACAGCTATACGACCCTAATTTAAGCACCAAAACACGCGCGAAAAAAAAAAAACTCACTCCACTTCAACATCGCAACATTGATCTACAATTTAATACGCTCCAAGGATATAATAGATCGAGTAAAAGTGTAGCTAGCAGGAACGAACTCCACTACGGAGACCTGTACCATCGCGCGACTACCGCACATACTATGTCAACCGTATTAATCTGCCTATAGGCACGCTATTTTGTTGCCGTTGTCGAAAGTCCATTGATCACTTCTGATAGAAGACAACTTGACAGATCCGTCAGTAACCAGACAACAGAACAACAGCACAGATATTGAATAGAATAACCCATCTACAATACCGTGTACATTATAATTCCGCGAAAGCTCGAGCGCACCGAATAGTCCTTTCCTGTACTCCAGTAACATAGGATTGCACCACATAAAGCATATACATGTTCTTTATATGTACAACTCCACGATTGTCCCCTCTGAAATTGAGAGAGAACCCAAGCATACCGCGTAGCAGTCGATTCAGTGAATACTTATAATCGTGCCCAATTCCTCGCTTAAAGTCAGTCCTCCGGACGAATAACAGCTACCATGCCTTAGTCAGGTTTTCTTGCCCAAGTAATTACTTACTTCTCTCAGGTTATATTCTATCAACTTTTCCTTAGAGAAGTTCATGACAAATCATGTAAACTTGTATATAACAAGTCTGACTTTTCATGGGTTTTGTTGCAACCCAAGAACGTCTTAGACGTTCAGCCTGTTGCAACGCATTACAATGCACTAATTTCGGCTACTTATCAACATTTACACTATCTAAGCTACTTCTACGTGTTGCAACATGTTACAACACACAGATTTATTCTATGTAACTTACAATAAGCAAACCTTCAATCCCACATGTGCTTCCCGTTGCAACACTCCCCGTCTGTTGCAATATCTCATCTTCTAGGGTAAATTGAGTTCGCTTCGGTGCGAGTAGCGCAGTTCGACCGTCGTCATTACTGCCAATGTAATAATTCTGTAGAAGACACCTGTAACAACCGCTCACCTAGTCTAAAATCGGACCTATCCTTGTGCCACCGGCCAGGATGTTGAACGATGAATAGAACGAGGTTGGCATCATCGAGAGACAACTTTGAAGGATAGACATCCCTTGACGAGCTGACAGTAGAGGATATCACTTACTTGTCGTTCAATAGTGGTGGAGGTGGCCAACGAAGGTGGGAGATTGTGGTCAAGACAAAGCACCTACATGCCTGTGGCTTTTCAATGAGCAGGAGCTGCACCGCCACCACGTGGACTGTTTGCCAGTGGCATACAACTGCCATGCCCGCATCTTTCGTCGCTTCTATCATCGTCTGACATTGTCCTTGCAGACGATTGACTTTCTTCGCCAGGTATGTGTCCGATTTTTTTTGTCATACCGTGAACTCATGGTCTCCTAGAAACATGAGTAACCCCAACGAAGAAGACCAAGTAAATCGCTCGACCTAGCAAGTCATGCTGTACATATTGGATCTTTCAGTTTCACCTCGATTTGCCTCAAACAGTTGGCGTAGCAACAATCTCTCCCCAGTCCCTTCTGACGCGTAACTGGAATCACCGACTACTCTGACACGAGACACCGAGGAATCCATCCCACAGCAAGTTACCTTCGCATGCTTGGGAAACCCAGTCACTGTCATTGGCTACATTGACCAGGATGGCTCCATGTTGAGGGTAGAGGTCGTTCTCTCGAGGGGAAACCTCAGCGTCTCCCTGGGATATGATTTCGGGCAGTATGTATCCGGATGTGTCGCAACACGTAGATTAGACAGCTTCAGAAGACAATCATGTATATTAGATGGTAATTACAAAAAATACATTTTTGTAACGCGTTGCAACAGCACGAACGTCTATGATGTTTTTTGTTGTAACAAAGTCGGTGAATTTACTGAACAAGTGAGTAGGAGACTTCGAACATGCCTCCTTCAGACACTACCGTCTTTGTACCTTTACCATCACGATCAGTCTAGCTCGTTTGCCCCTAGAAGGGTACAACGCATATATCAATCGCACTGAACACACTAACGACTTTCGACACGATATTCCACTTTAAAAGCAGCACCCTACCAACCATCTTAGCCTCTACTTTATTATCATCGCCACAATCGAGTTCATCCTTCGACCCTACAATGGCCGTAATACCGTTCTACGGATATGTTCAAGCTATTTCACCACCAAACCACCGACTTGCCATGACTCGACAACTACAACATACTTCACATCCAGCAGGGGAAATGACGGCAACAACATTAGGACGACACTACTATGGCATCCACGGTGCTTGTTTCTCGTTATATTCCTATATATCATGCTACAAGCATTTCAATAAGAATATCGCGTACCAGGTAAGCATACCTTCATGGAAATTCATGACCAAAAAAAAAGCTGAAAGATAACTCCAACCACCTTCTAATAGCACGACAGGTCAGCAACGAAATTTTCGGTTATTTTATAGCTCTACTCGAGAAAATGGGCTCAACAATCGGCGTAGAAGCGTCAATAACACGCATCGTCTTATTCTGATCTCTAGTCAATACACCGGAGACAGGCATGTCGTCAAGACGCGACTGTCAAGCATCCGTTGATCATTCCAGGCGATATCTAAAGCATATTTTGAGCAAGGATATACGCATGAATAAACTGCTGTTACATTGACTACCCAACAAGTGCGTTCTGCTGCATTTCCTATGGATTAAACTCTTATATCCCGTCCCCTCCACCTATCCGGTACCATAGTCGTTTATTCAAGAATGACGTAACCAAAACCTCTAGATAACAACCTTACCCTCGATGTATTCTTCTTAGCGCCAGGTCAGTTTCCATACTAATGCTTAAATTACTTTATACTGAGGTCGCCACCATCTAAACCGCAGTTAAAATTTCTGTGTATACTCTGAAGGACGTTACCATCCAAAACCATCTTCCATTTGTACATCTATCTTTCCAGACGCTAGATCGTCTCAGGTCCTCACTACTTCATGGAGGCCTGGTCTTAGTTTGTTTTATTATCATTATTATTTCCAAACAAACAGCCGACGTGACGATTTCTCATATAAGATCCTTCCAATTATGTGATTTTATATTCTATTTTTTTTTAAAAAAAAAGTGATATAGAAACCACGTACCCATGCAAGTCTAGATAACTTTTTCTCAGGATTAAAAGGCCAAGTCGAAGCAAATCATAACCCTTGCTTTATTGACACCGCAAATGTTCACGCTTATGATTCCGTCCTACTAATAAACCGCTCTCCACTCAACCACCTCCTCAACGTTCTCTCCAACTTCCAGGAAAAAAGGAAACAGATCGACCCAAACCCAATCCGTAAAGCAAACTGTATAGAATTCGACTTCGCCCCAGACAAAATCCAGGCAGAACGTACTGCAGCAAAGACCCAAGAGGAGATCGGCTAATATTCTCCGACGAATCAGGTTTCAAAGCAGAGATCGGGGCGGCTGCATGGTCGCAGACTAACGAAAACGCCCCGCATAGGAAAGTCCACCACCACCTCTACTTAGATCCAGACACTCACCACACTGTCTTTGAATCAGTACTAATAGGTGCAATACTGGCCCTGGACATCATCAAGAGCACCGCGAGTCTGGTTAAAGCTACCATCCTCATAGATTCCCAAGCAGCCATCCTCGCTCTCCAGTCTAGTCAGACAACATCAGGACGCTACCTAGTCGACGAATTCCACCGCCAGGTGCGCCTACTCCAGGCAAAGAGACAATCCCTTCGAATACGAATCCAATGTGTACCAGATCACATCGATGTCCACAAAAACAAAATGGTCGACGCGGAAGCAAAACTAGCAGCACAAAGATCCTCGTTCCCCCTCTTTGACAACCATACCATACTCACCACCACGCAGTAAGGCTGCAACACTAGCAGATTTCTCGAAACGTACCCAGAAGAAGTGGGCAGAACATTAGCTCTTCTCGCCCAAAGGGAGCTTCACGAAACATTTTGACCGGTCCCCACCTTCCCCAAAGACCAGCGCACCTTCAAAAACATGTCAAGGGCGGGAGCGAGCATGTTCACCCATCTACGCACAGGTCACGTACCACTAAACGCCTACCTCTTCCACTCGAAAGCAACTCCCTCCCCCAACTGCCCTCACTGTAACGTTCCAGACGGTTACTCATTTCCTCTTAATCTGCCGCCGATTCTCCGATGAACAACAAGCCCTTCGTCGCTGGATGAGACTGGGCAACCTTCAATTCAGACACCTACTAGCAATCCAATCCCGGCACACCTTTGCTACCCTCGCGTACGTGCAGCGCACAAAACACTTCTCAGACTTCCCACCAACAAAGGCGGTCCTTCCCCGTAGGAACGTAATTCAAGATGTATGGACACCGAATTTTCTGTGCCTCACTTGGACATACGAGGGGGAGGGACAGTTCGCAGACTGTCCTCCCACCTCCGCTATGGAGGGAAGTACCCATTCGTACTCATTTGTGCACCCTGCTAACATAATGTGTTTTAACCCAGTCAAACAGCTATATATGACGCCTCAGACGACCTAGCGATACAATTTCAACATCCCACTGCAATCCCCTTTCCCTAAACATCCCACTCATCGACCATCCATGCCATGGTCACCTCTTCCACTCAAAGCAGCTCCTCTGCATCAAGACACACAACTACGCACTACCAAGTGACCACCACAGCTGGACACAGATAGACACATAACCCCATAACCCAAGACTACCAGTAATACCGATACCATTACGTATAGTTAGCTACCATATAGTGTCACAAAGCGCAAGATGTATGCATAGGCTCCATAGGGCCTTAGGTTACTTAAAATGCTACTTCATCATCATCATCCTACTAATAAATTCGACCTTGGAAAACTTCTTTCATGTACTACTCATGAAACATCGCCAGCAATTGAAGAACAGAATACAACTCGTAGGAACAGTAAATTCGTCTCGGAAGTAGAAACTTTTTGTTTTTTTCATCATAGTGATAGATGACGAACCACAAATAAGTATGGGAAACAACAGTTAGACCCCTTTCACCAAATATCGCACACCTCTGTCTGAAGTTCACTTAAGTATTTCATCTTATATGCAAAGTCAATCATCAAAGCTTTGCTTTTTCGTCGGATCTGAACTCGATTAATATTGTGCAATAATCGTGTTGTCACACTGATACTTTCCACGTTTCTGATCAGTAATTATAGCATTCGAGGTCCCTAGTCAGGCACATTCCAATAACAGTAATAAAACTTCCAACCCCCAGACATATAGATGTAGTCTAAGGCCAGGTCATGCCCCTTCCCACCTACTAACTACCCTCCTATTATTAGAATTTACTGATTTAGAGCAGGATAATCCAGATTAAGCGACTACACCAGCATTTGCTAAGAATTGGTTAAATTTTTTTTTGTAATAAAACCATGAGTATCAAACCTGTTTTCTACCCTTACATTCTTTGTATATCATGCGTATGCTCTTATCGGTGTTATGGTCATTTGAAAAGGTGTCTGTCTGATGTAATGGTGTTACATATACAGAAACGAACAAGTTCCCTTGGTGTGTTGGTGGATAACGTGAATACCGTGGAACCTGTTAAAAATGTGCTGAAGACGACCAGTTGCGCATGATTACCGATCCGAAATCCAAACGATCCTTCCTGGGATGTAATGCGGACGGGAGCAGAAATATATACTAATTCTTAATGAAACTTCTTAATCGATACTGTTTCAGCGTTATACACCATGTCAGTCAATACGTCTTAAGTTGTTTTGAGGTTACTGATCTTACTTTCAGTTGGAGCACATTATGGTACTATATCGGCGTGTCCGTTGCTTAGATAAAATACTAATTTACTGTTTTAGGAATATCATGAAGTCATAGTTTGAATGAAGGCAAATCGGCATCAAAGCCGATTGGCCTATATGCCGATCTAGCCGATCAAACTATGATCTCATGATATTCCTAAAACAGCAATTCGGTATTTTATATAAACCAATTTCGCGCCGATACAGTCCCATAATGTGTCCCAACCGAAGTCAAATTAGCAACATCAACACAACTTAAGACGTATTGACTGACGTGGTGCACAGCGTTGAAACACTATCAACCAAGACATCTCATTAAAAAATAAAACATATTTCTGTTACCATGAAATGAAAGGAACCTGTCGAACATCCATTCACCATTGATCTATTAGAACATCATTCGTCGATTTAGTGCTGTTTCTGTAAATACAAATGTAAGAATGTTCTTGTCATTCTAATGATTATTAAGCAGTTCACAACTCTTGCATATCGATGTTCATACGATCTCGTTGAGATTGGCATATATTGACCGCAGAGAATATATTTAATAAGTTAATATAGTTAGACCAATTTCATCAAAGGTCTGACCTATTTACCTGTCAAATACCGCATTTGACCAGACATTAAGTGTATAAACACCATGCTTTCTGGAGAAAATAATAGATCACGTATCTTGTTAGATAAATAAAACGAATGGCTGGTCAGAAGTAAGAAGACAGAATATTATTATTTATCGTATTATCATTATTTATTTATAATGCCAATTGTCGTCACTGTTCAGTGACAACACGGTGGGGAAATTATTTTACATAGATTCGTATTAATTAATCCAACCATACATATACTTATAGTCATCTCGAACTATTAAACAATCAACCCTCACATCCTGTCCCTCATCACATCCGAAACATCCAAATACTAAGGACATTGTAAAAAAATGGTGAGTAAAGCGCATTTGGCAGTATATTACTATCTCATGTTTTTCATAATAACTGACCATTAAATGTAGGACATGTACATGTCCAGCTACCCACGTCTTACGACCGAATGTTACTCTCAGCCTGCTCAAGTAGTATGTACTGCTTGTCATCAGGGATTGAATAATTATAACCCTAGTTTAGACTACCAATGGCCCCCAAAATATCCAGCAATCATTCAATGATAAACCCAACTCGACCACTCAGGAAGTGAGCAGTAATCTCCATGTACTAAGAAGCTTCAAGTTGCTGAAAACTATATAGCACAACGAGATAGAAATAATGAATGCATCTACCGTTGTTGCAGCCCCAGTAAGCACCGATACATATCTGCCCAATAGTCGACTGACTATTCTCTGTCCCAAAAAGATTTATTACAGACCTTCCGGTTTAACAGCTGCCGATCTTGAAGTCTTTACTAAACCTACCTACACTGTGATGTCCATGCAACCTGACTCAATCGTGACCGCAACCGTTCATTCCACGCCCCATAACCTCTCCTTTCATAACAATCACCTAGAACAAAACACCATCCACAATGAAACAGTGGTCCTTTGTACACCTCCCGAAATATTGATTAAAATATTCTCCGAATTCTACAACGATTCTACCTACACGTTCGAAGTAGGGGACAAAGAAAATATCGCTTTCATAGTATCCCACGTATGTCATCAGTGGTGTAGCACTGCTATCGATCTGTGTGCAGCCTTTTGGACACCATTGACAATAGTCAGGAGACGAAGTTCAAATCAAGAACGCACTATAGCCTGGACGGATCTGACGTCCATGGCTATTCATCGCTCCAAAAGTAGGAAGCTCAAAATTATGTTCGTAGGATCGGACGATGAACTTATGGCACCTTCTCTTGCGGGAGCCCTTCGAGTAATCATAGCAGAATCACAGTGCCTGGAGATTCTCAATTTGTATCTCCCTTTGGCTTTTATTCCAATGCTCTTGGCGCTTGAAGGCAGAGTGCCTAATCTTCGTCGATGTGCTGTTCATACAATTGGGAATAATTCAACTGCACGACACCACATCAATGCTTTTGCAGTAGCACCTCTACTCAAAAGACTCACTTTCGCCAGTTTAAACTCCCGTTCCACCTTTTCAGTCCCTCGCACTTCCATCACATTTTACGAAGACCTCCACGACTGTTATGCCAGCGACTACGTCCATGATCTTACCCTACAAAACTTACGATTCACGCCCCATATGTGGTACTTCCGGGCCATATATCAACAGCCTCGAATGGACGGCTTTATGGTCAACGAACGGGCCATTGAATGCCCCGGTATCCATATTTTCATAGCGTCTCAAGGAGCCTTATTCCGAAGCGTCATACTGCCCTTTGTTCGATCTATCATAGTTGAGAGCAACCCTCCCTATGGTATATTGGACTTTACAGATCAAGACTGCTTTCCTTCTGTGTACAACCTCATCATTCGGTCTCAATGCCATACGACTTTAACCCACTTGGCAGTATATGATACACTTCTCACTGAAGATATCATCAACGTCCTATCAGAGCTGCCCTTCCTTAAAGAATTGGCATTCCATTTTACCTGATGGTATGAAGAATGCGACGCTATCATTCACCGTATCGTATTGGCTTTATCAGTTGTTGAAAACAACTCGACCAGTCTTTGTTGTATCAATCCCGCCTTACTCTATTCTCTGTTGTAACTTCTTGTCCATTGGATCACGGATGGACAAGTATTGAATTTGTTTGTTCCCATTTCGCTAGCATGGTGGAGAGACGTCGTCAATTACTCTCCAGACCATCGGACATACTTTCAGTTACGATTCATGCGAATAGCCCCCTTTTGGATTTCCCTCACATGTCTGGCAATGTTATTACATGCCTGGCCAACTGTCATCTGGAGGATCACGATATCCAGATTGTGGGATATGTAGACGGAACGTATACGAGTAATATCATTCCGGAAAGTCATGCAGTTGTCGAGTCTCAGATAATCGCACAGGGAATGTGAGCATCATGGTCATGCTACGTTTGTTATAGTATTTCCTACTTCTTGTATACCGTATGAAAAAAACAAATAAACAACTGTGAAGAATAACGAATGGTATTAATATACTTTACCAAGTATACTTATACAAATAAATTCAAATAACTTACGCTGGTGCCTCGAGCATCAGTATGCCTCATTTATACATCATGACCCGTAGAGAGGAGTAGTCTGTCGAGGGAAAAGCATAATTAGATCAGACAGGATGACATAGAGTGGTCGGCCAGAACCCAATGCTGTCTTGATTGTGCAACGCAGTATGAACGGATTATTGAGGCCATGAAAACCATGACGGGAGCCATTCTGTGTGTCAGGCAGGATATACTCACCCTCCATCCATTCACAGAAGCGGTGATGAGCCTCAAGGCTCTGTATGCTCAGAATTCGCGGATTTTAGCATTATAATAAATGCCTTGTCCACTTAGCGGACTTTCACTAAGTCAATGATTGCAATCATGGCAATACCCACTTTTACCGCCAACTATCCATCCCAACTCGTATTCCGCATCAATATGCACCACTTCATTATTGCCGCCAGGCACCTGATTGCAGATCTCACGGAATTAGGACCATCATTGATCGCCTAGCACAGCCATCACTGACATCAGCATCAAGCGTCACTTAATAGAATGCCGCAGCCAAAATACCTATTCCACAGCAAAAGACCTAATACCGTGACCTTTCCACTCACTTTACTAAGGCTGTTACAATGCCAAGATAATGCCGCACACATCTACTTCAGTGTACTACCTTCAGTGTACTTTGCCACAGCAACACAGCAGCCCAAGAGTCCGTATGTCGGGGGAATTCTTTCTGATCATTAAGTCTATACGTGGTAAAATCATGTGGGTGCTGTTACTTTAGAACTCTGGGAGCACGCGTTTTGTATCATTTCTTACCAATTGATGTACTAAGGACTTACTAAGGACTTGTTTCAAGTATTCTAATTTTATTCCGGACTTGTAGTATAAAAGCTAGTATAGTAGTAGTTCCTAGGGAAGTTACTGGACACTAGCCATCATCCATGTTATCGACCACCGTTATTGCTTGTACTCGCTAGGAGATAGACAATAACAACATAGTCACTCCGAGTTATACTCTCTGTCATGGCTTTTCTTCTAACGGTATTGGTGTACACTCATATTGCGCCAATACATGGAATTTGGTGTCCACAACTCGCTTTTATCTTTTAATCCGCCAGCATCGTTTCACTTTCACCAGCCAGCATCATTTTCATCAGTTTTCACCTTCTACGTCACCATCGTTTTACCCAGTTCAGTTCAGGATCGTTATGTCCCCGTGTGGACTCAGATTAGGATTGTTATTGCCGCCAGCAGCATCTGTCACGGAATTTTGGTCAACAGCTTCAGTATAGGATCATCAGTCACGGTATTTGGTATCTTGCCGTCAGTTTCAGTATAGGATAGTCTCCGTGTAGACTCAGGATTAGTATCAGTTTCGTTTCGCTGTCATTAACCTCAGTATAGTTTCAGTTTCAGTCCAGCCCCATCCCAGCCATCGTTTTGCCATCACTAGTTCCCCCTCATATCATCGCCAGTTCATCTTATCTTCATTTTACCACCAGTTTCTCGTTTCTCAACTACAGTCTTCATCTCTTGCCGTCACGGTATTTGTTATCTTGCCAACGGTATTGCTCTTTGACGGCATTTTCTCTAATTCCGTCAACATTGCCCACGGCTTTTACTAGTTAAATTGCCATCATTTCATTCACGGTTTGCCGGTATTCCCAGTTATACCGGATTCCATTCCTTCTCGTCTATCGAGACCCTTCCCAGCTTACAGCCAACGTTTTCTAGTACTCGATCGTTAAGGGTACTACTTTGCTGACTGAAAAGTCGCAGTGTATACTTGCGTTCTTGAGGAATTCATCACATGGAGGTGCACCGAAACACTCGCACAACAACAAAGCCTTTATTGCTGCTACGTGCCATTTGCCATGAACTCCTCTAGAGTTTTGGTTTTTGCCGTTGCCACGGAAGTTTAGGCTCATCAGCGGTCATCCCAAAATATAGTGAACATTTTCAGAAGGTAAGATTTGAGACCGATAAGCCGGTAGGTCTGGGGATCTGTGCATCTACAAGAGGCCAACGAAACTTTTTCTCCCTACTAAGGTACTTCCAGTCGTGGGGAAAAGTGCAAAGCATTTCCCAGCTAAGCGTGAGTATATCAGTGAGAAAGAGAGAATATCATAGATCAATCAGGTTACACACTTACGCATAGATACCCAGGCACGCTTGGTTGAGATGAGAAAAAGAATCTATCAATTGGATTATGCGGAACTCAAAATGTCAGTCACGGTGTAGCTCATGTACAAGCATCTCGAATCATTTCGGTAGGAGACTGCTACTGGACCATGATGAGGGAAGAGAAAGCAGGCTCCTTCTGATAGGTGATACGTCCAGTTTAAATGTACATGGTATATATACCGCCAAGTAGCTCTATGCCATAAATGATTAAAGGGGGAAAAATGAATGGAGAAGTTGGATATCACCTGGATTAGATATTAGACTTCAGACAAAAGGTGTACGACGGTTTTGGGGGTCCTATTTCCTCACGACATTCGCAAGACTGGGAACCATGTGGGATGTTTGCACAACCATATTCTATGAGAATCGATCATATAGACATGTGCCATTTCACCATTCACTGTAGCCATAATACATGCAGATGTAAGAGCTGAAGTTAGTTCACTTTGGCTGGCATACAGATCTTGAACTTGGCCCACTTCTTCGGAGGAATACATAAATACGGAATATATCACATTGTTGGTCTGCCTGGAAGGACACCATCAAAGAACAAAAGTGAAGATTTCCCAAAAGGTAGAAGGTTTCCGTGGCGCTAAGCCGGATGAGGCAAGCAGCCCGGTGGGTATAGCGAAAATGGATGCGAATCCTACTTATAAATAGATCTAAGATTACAAATTCGAAGCTAAAACTCTTGCTTCGGAACAGCGAGATCTACCGAGGCCCCACCGCCAGAAAACTTCCCATGAGATCGGAATTAAGATCTGGGAAGACGACCTGAGTGTATTTCTTAGTTTTGTTGGGAAACTAGAGTCTTGAATAGAACTAGGAATGAGTGTCGCGAAGATTGTTCACGGTCACTGAGCATTGTCTTACCGAGTTTCCGCCATTAAGGTCCGTAAAGCTTGAAGTTCTTAGCTTGCTGGATGCCACCTTGATAACGGACGGCTCCTTCAGCTCTACCAGTGGAAGCTTGAGTCATTGTATGATACGATGTTACCTACCTACTGGCTTCAATCCCGACAAGTCGGAGCACCCACCTATAGACTTCTTCACCGCCGACTCCATTCAGCTTTCCAATGATCAATTCAGCTACCCCAATCAGGACCTCATTTCAATCCACGTGTTGACAGATGTTACCCCCATTCCTTAACTCAACCATGCGTGGCAATTGTATCTTTGTTACAATCATTCGCCACCAGCCACAAGTTACGGCAGTTGCGAGAACAAATAAGCGAATCATAGAACATGGAACTATTAGGATCTGTAAATTTAGGGTTGCAAATGGTAAATCTGACCCTGAAGTATATAGAAATGCCGTCTGAACTAATGCAGCAAATGGAAAACGAGGGCTACAGCTTTGAAAAAAAGTATTTGGTAAGGAGAGACAAACATGGCTGGTATGAGTATCATCCACTTTAGTTAGAATAAGAACCACTTTGGCTAGGATCAATTTGTCAGCCAGCAGTCAAGACTTTCGGTGACACCTGGCATGAACAAGGTGTGACCTTCTGATATTCCAAATGACTAGTATGAACAGTCGGGGGACACAGCCGGTTGAGGCTACCCAGGAATAAGTATAATTAACGCCGAGAAAAAGATAGGAACAACCCACATATGTGCTCCAGCATGCATGGACCTCTTTCAAAGAACCACTAAAAGAATATGAGATCGAAATCTTAATGTTATCTGGGCAAATTTCACTTTGAGGAAAAAGGTCCTGAACAACCGTATATCCATGTCGTATCGGATCTAATGTGATATGGATGAATGGCGAACATGGAAATAGCACTTGACCTTTCGTACCGGAGGTGTCGCAGATTATCTGCCAGAGAGTGGGAGAAATGGATGTTCTATACACCCATCCACCATGACTCTCTTCAGTGGGGCCAAGAAACTTCATCGAGCTGATTTTGGAATGTATCGGAAGCGTCCATGTTCCCGAATATATCGAAAATGTACTGAACTCTGAGACAGGGTCCGGTAGCTCCATAGTTAGGGCACGACCTGATACCGATACCTTTATGGGCCATGACGCCCCATAGAACCTGGGGGATAGAAGAGAGGTGACATGCATCGATGATGGTGATTGTAGGATGGATAGTTCAACTACAGCCTTATCACTGGGAGTGGATTCGTTCAGTGGTGTGCCGGGTGGTAATTGCAGGCTACCAGGTCCTGGCTGGGAAAAAGTGGCCCAAGAGTCGTCACCGTCATAGATATTAAGTGAGTTGGATATAAGTTGATGAACTGGGATTGGCACTGTCAGCTCTCTAAAATATGGTCAAAATCAACGTTGACATACTTTGTGGATCTCGGTAGGTCTTCCTCAGTTGTAATAGACGACTACCAACTTGTTCAGGTGTATGATGTTCACCCGTCGTGTCATAAATAAAATCAGAAATGAAACGATTATGGCAGATGTGACGTTTGACCACCGTTTTACAACCAGAGAGTGCTCGCGGGGGATGTCGATAAGATTGGTAGGTATGTTTGTATTTTTTGAGTCCTTCATGCAATGATGAGCATCCAGCTTATGTAGGTGAGTAGAGGAAGGGATTCATCCTGTATCAATGCTACCTCGCTATGGAGCAAAGTCAGGACTTCGACTGGATCAACCACCTATACGAACAGATCAGGAGGCCACACCATCCCTTCTCTCCCCTTCAATTGCTTCCAAGATTTACGTCCTGTCGCGACAAGGTAACGTTCAGTGGCATCCGAAAACTCGTCGTTGGTGGTGAGATTCTTGATACTAAAGCATCCTAAGTAAGACATGAGATCAGAATGATCAAGAGTCGGCCACTCTGAGCCTAGTTATATAGGTCGTTGGGCCACCTGCGTTCATGGCCATAAATGCGGGCCAAGAAGCAGAGAGGTGCCATAGGAATGATCTCTGAAAAGCACCGATTGACAATGTTTTCATGTGAGCAAGAGCACGACCCATGATGGTGGTACGGTGATGTCCCTAGGTTGTCCGATCTTGAAGTATCAAACCGGTGCATCCCCCAGTGCCCACTTCTTAGAACCACTTCAATAAGTCACGGGAAGTGGCAGACGAAGACACACAATTGTTTCTCTTCACTCCTGTCACTCCTAAGTTCCTGTCCAAAGGAAATGCATAGTGGCACCGAAAGCATTTCTTTATAACATTTTAGTCTGGCCAGAAACTGAATCCTTTCCGCTAAAATTTGACTTCCAAAAAATGGAAACATGTATAAAGAAAATTTTCAGCTCCACAACCCATTTCCATCAGATTTCCTTTGGGTTGGAATAATGTGCAGTCAGGCTTCTCTGGCACTTGTGGGAATTTATACTACCGACATTTTACATTTGATCAAACTCACACCGAAATTGTGGTAAGGCATTGATGGAAACATTTTTTAAAGCCACAAAAAGATAAAGGTTTATTTCCTTGAGTCAATGTGGCAAGCTGCTGTAGTTTTCCATGAGAGCGCCAGACATCTAATGGAAATGTATACTTAGTCGTTTCAGAACGTCGGGTTCTGATTCGGCCCGGATAGCCGAACAAAGCGAATCCGCGCAGACGGCTGCAGATGGCATGCTTTGGGCTTCTCCTTCCTGTCACGATCATCTTCTACTCAGACTGTTTTCTCGCCATATCTCGAGTGTTTGACCACGATCCCATCAGCACATATTGTTGCGGGTCAGTATTCTTCATCAATAGAGCTGGCCACTGCCGGTGTGCCCAAGATGTGCCTGAAATGTCACCTTCACCGTCAGTCACATATGCCAACAACGTCTGCTATGTGATTAAGCCAGAAAACAACTAAGGATCGTTTCACCTCGTGGTGTCTCTATCACCAGCTAGCAAAGCACAACTAGACTTCTCCCTCAAGGCTTTCTGGAATAATGTACCACATGGAATTCATTCGTCCCGGACGGCGATAACTGGGATTTGTGTCCTTGACTGTATGTTGGTATCCTTTGGTTAAATGACGGTTTCGACTCACAAGCAACGTTTTAGATTTGTATTTGTGTAAATTGAAATAAAAGATTACGATGTTCTCAAGTCTTCGGTGTGCACTGTACACAACTGTGAGCCAGAACTGATATACACTATCTATTTCGCCATTTAATGATATAGAATCCTGTCCTTGAGACTGTGCCCACTCCACGAATATTTATCAACACACTACGGGCCTTAAGTCAGTGCAGCGCTCTCTCCGGCTATGGTAGCCTTCACTCTCACCTTTCTTCCTACACCGTCTCTACAGCTGAAGCTATATCCGAAATATGGCCATTAAGCAAATTCCCGGTGCATAGCTTCCTACAGTGAACAGTGCCTCAAATATTAGACCATCACCGAATCCAGAAACACCTATCAGGAAATGTGTATATCATCTTCTCCATGTACGCACTTGGCTGTCCGACATACATTTTTGACTCACAGGGAAATAAGATAGGATGACTGTTCTCCTTTCCTTGTCTCTCGTATACCGCTGACATGATCTGAAGTTGATGCATCGTTAAGAATTCTTCTCTCGAAAATTCAATCCAGTCCTCTCTACTAAGATTTCGTAGACTCGCCTATTATCAAAAGGGTTGCCCAGAAGCTAGTATGTGTTTGTTGCATAGATATATTTGAGAGCTAAAATAAAAACTGTAGTAATATCTTGCTTTCAAGTTCCACCTTCACTACACAAACAGGCACTCTCACGTTGGTTTCAATTGTGTTCTAGTGTACAATTTCCTTAGACATCTGTTCTGGTCAAGGCATCAAGCCCTTCAATGAGAATGCTGTTGATGTATATGTGCGTTACGGTTTCATCTGTTTTTCTCACATTTATCATTGTAGATAGAGTGCTTCGACCAACGTACGTCGACAGTCCTAGCTTCCTGACAACTTGATCTGGTCATCGAGAGGGTTCCCGTGCAACTATACCATACTAGAAAGCACTACTCCTGCCCTTCGATGTTTATACTTCCATCACAACGAGATACTGCATGATGGAGACATTATCTGCCCCTGTTCACCGCTGTTGTGCTCCTTAGCAAAGATGTTTCCAGGAACACGGCTGTCTATAACATGACGACATCGCCACCCTAAAATCATTGAGGTATGGCATTGAGTTGTCTGACAGAACACGCACACTACCATGTCCCGCTAAAATCCCCATCTAAAATCCGTCTCTGTGCGGACTTGTAATAAGGGTTGCTTCCTGTGATTCAGCGGATGTCAATAATGTGTGGGAAGGTTATCCTAACAAACGAGGTGAGATGTCTGATTAATTACGGAAATGTAGATACCAAGTCATAGCTTAATAATCATGATTGTACCTACTATCTTTTCCGTTGTCTTCAATGTAAGAGGTAACCTTACGCTCAATTTGGTCCAAAGCGCGATTCGCGATCTATTATTTACAGAGTCTCACCGACTTTGCTCGTACTTAACCGGAACCAACCATTCGTCATACCCAACACCGCCTCAGTTTAAGTGCAGTTCGAACAACATATAGAGCAGCAACGGCTGGCTGCATACTGGACATCTTTCCATGGATGCTACAGCCACCGAAGTAATGCACCTATCCCCAGATCAGTCTTTACTCAGAAGTTGCAGGTGCATCTATACCGTTTACAGAAAATGTGACCACATATAGTTACAGTCAAATCCTTGCATGGCGACCTCCCACAAGAGCGACAATGAAGAGACAGTGACGATGAACTTCCGACTTGAGCTACCAATAGCTTCTCCGAGGTTTGGCTGTTCAACATAAACAAGCTTCTAGCTTTTATATATGCATTGATGAAGGCAAAAATATGACCCCACCTACCTATTGTCCCTCTCAAAGGGATCGAAGTGTAACCACCAATCATGAGATTTTGCATACATCTCGGAAGTCAATGATCTTCCGGTCGGCGCTGGTGGGTCGTCATTAACAAAGTTTTGGACCATCGCATTATTAGCATCCTCTTGTTCAAGCTGTTGAATCAATGTGAGAATAGGAACCAATAGAAATATGTTCCAGCGACGCATACGATTGTGGGATGACGAATACCGGAGCTCTGTTATTATCGATATATCATTATAACTCAGCCGTTTCTTGGACAAAGTCAACATGTACTGGAGTTTTGGTCTTTGCGATCAAATGATACTGGATGCTCATTGCGTCAGAAGCATCACCGAAAAGACCAATGCTCCAGACCTGAGATTTTGCAAGCAAACCATCGGTACCAAAATGCACCGTCCTGAGGTGCTGAAATGACTATTAAGCTCAACAAAGGGGATAGTAGGGTTGAAACTCACGTCGACATAAGCCTCTTCCTCCGGAAAACCGATACGCTCCTCTGATTTACACCATACGCACTTGGGATGCAAAAGCGAACCCTTATAATGTTTTTCTAAATTATCAACGATACGCTCGCACTGTGTACAGTAGGCTTCGACATGGGCTGTCACGCAATGCTACATGAAATGAAATAAGAAAGAGGTAAAAACAGACAAATGGAGAAAATCGATACCAATGCAAATTCGGCGTCCCCTTCAAACCCCGGTGTTCCTTCGCATAAAGTGCATCTCGGATGACGGGAAGAATTTTTGAAGTATTCAGAAAGCTCATGTTCGTAGAGGCACCTGTGACAAATAGAGCAAGTCACGCAGAGTCGATGGTCATCCTCATAATGCTAAGACGGAGACAGGGGTCAAAGTTTGGAGATACAGAATGAAAGGAATGGCCTACCACATCACACAATTCCTGGTTTTTGAAACCTCAGCCACAGACTGAACAGTTCGGATGATTCCACGAGCCTCGGTAGTGCTCATCGAGAGAGCTCTGGGATTTGAATGAGCGGCCACAGCGTCTACAGCTGATTCTTTGTTATGGTGATAACGATTGCATAAATGTGGGGAATGAGAAATAGAATCATCAGTTGGGTTTTTATTCTATGGATAACCCTAGAAACGATTGGACAGACTCGCTCTCAGTAACAATCAATCTTAATCGAAGTGAGCTCAGCGGACCCAATTTGTTTTCCATATACACCGCGTCAAAAAGGTATCAGAACTGCAAAATTTGCCATCCTTGAAGTTGAGTCACGATTCCTCATTCCAGAATCCAGAGTGTCGAGGAATCATATGATACGTGCTTGAGAGTTCAGTTCTATTAGTATAGACAAAAGGGAATGAGATGATATAGACCAAGACGACACGCACGGAATGCATCTGGTGCAGGTAAAACAAGCCGGCTCGAATAACTCGTAAGAAACCGTAGACTTCAACGCTTCAGTAAAAAGCATGGCCAATCTAGTTTCAGGAGGAAGGAGAGCGGAAACGAGGAGAAGATGAGAAGAATCGCATGCAAAAGCCAGGTGCCTTGAAAGATCTACTTTTAGCGTAGGTAGAAATGAAACACATCTAGGAAAACTTCTCGGCATATTGGGTCCGCACACCAGGTTTTCTAACCTCTTTAGTACAGAATGTAGCTATGCCGTTAGGGAGAAGCCAAATCGCTTGCACAACCGGGCCGAGATTTGAACCGCAACTCCACTCGTGTGCGTTCTCTGGGGCATTGAGTAAACATTGTTCAGGATCTCCAACAGGGAACCTATTTCTATAATACTGCGCCAATAATGTTGCAATAGCGAATCACCATTCTATCCTCTTCAATCATCCGTAATTTCAAATTGATAGCTGCCCTTGTTGCAAACTTCAAAGTTTCGGTGTGAATCAAATGCTAGTTCGACTAAATTTTATGTTAATCTCGAAACGATCTCGAAAAGTCACTGGCTTAGTAGTTATAAAACTGAAGGATTTGAGAAAGGTAATTCTAATTAGTAACACTTCCAGGTTTGTGCATAGTTCGAAGGCTTATACCCGATATCTTCCCGGTGACTACCTGCATATAGCCATCACACAGCATAGGGTAGACACTCGACTGCCCGCCTAGTACCACTTCGTAGAATGATGGATGAGTATGGGAATAGTATGACTCGAAAACTTCGGGGGAATGGAGGTTCAGCGGGAAACAGGATTGGAGATGAGGATGCTCGCCATTCCTTCCAAAGTTTGGGACGAAGGGCAGAGGTGGAAAGGAAGTAGCATGATAGCCACTTGTATCCGCCTCTCCTGGAGTGATGGTGGGGAGATAAGCATAAAAGTCTTCATTTCGAAAACCCAAAGCAAAACTTGAGCTAGGCGCCTCGAATGCTGGGCCGTAAGGATAGTCAAATTTGCCGGAGGAGAAGGGAGACAATGTACTATCGGACGATGGATCAGGGTTGTTGATATTGTGTGTGGAAATTGTGTCTATACAGTAAATAGTTTAGCTGTCATTCAGTATGCAGCAATAAGGGATTGGACACCTCGTCGTTTTCTGTATGTACCAGCGCTTTATGCGCGGCTTCGGTTGGAAATCAACACAAGTTTCTTGTCTGTGGCGCTTGACGCAGCGCATACAAGGTCGGCAATGATCACATTTTCGATGCTCTTGTCTACACGCAGTACATGCCTTTTTGACCTGTTGGCGCTTCTGGCGGAGAGGCTGAGACTGTATATCGTGCAACAACCCGGAATCGTGGTAATTCTGGGGTGTAGGGAATGGCTGCATGGTGTTCATAAGCAGTGCCAAGAGAGAGAGTAGGATGCAGTCGATGGCTGCAGAAAATGGGCATTCAAAGCAAGCCCAGTGATGTTAACCGAACAATGTTACGGAGCGAGTCAGCACATGCCTTGTTAAAACCTGAATTACCTTTAAGGGATCGCATTCTTACCGATCCTCTCTCTGGCTTGCGGCATCAGGTTGCTTATCAATCTCTGAGGAGATATGATGAAGAATCGCAAGATGCAGGACCGTTTGTAGATCCGACTATTCAGAGAAGTACCCAGAACCACTCAATGATATATACGGAATTCCATCGTGGAGAAAAGGAAAGCAACGGTACCAAAATTCGTTTAATATTACACCGTGTCCATTCCCCTAATCAACTGATATGCTCCCCACCACCTCCCCTATGTTCTATCAAGTACTTTACTAGTGGTGTAAATGGCCGCCAAAAAACGTTAAGGTCTATTACAGATTCTACTGTATTACATGGTGTCATACACCCCGCCTATCAGAGTAATTTACAGCCTGCTTACCATCAGATATTCCATCCCACTTACTCCAAAGACTTCCGACACTTAAGCGCCTAAAGTAGAGTGCAGAACAGTACCTTAGGTTGATATTTTTATTAGACAAATCTGTCCCAATCAATTCATAAGTGCTCCGCTGGATCACGCTCACTCAAACCATGATAGACAAAGATTCTGATCATTGCTATTCGAACAACGGTCCTTTCCTTGATCTGTACTGCCAGGCAGATCTCACCAAGTCTTCCATCAAGTTAAGAATTTTTCCAGAGGAATTTGAGAAATTATCTTGGCAGTTCTAAGAGACCTAATGGTCTACTCCCACTCCAATTGAAATCAAACTTCCACTCAGAATTTTCGATGGCACTTTGATGCTGTTTTCGAAGTTTTAAATCAGTCCAGAAGTTACCACTGAAGGGCCACCTGCACAGGGGAACTTTGGGGATCCGATTGTACTGTACCATTTCAATCGATTCGTCGGTCACAGGTCACAGCGACTGGAGATTGCCCATACCTACCTTAAAAAGGTAATTTATGCCAAAATTTCGGCCCTATATAAGCCAACTGACGAAACCAAAATTTCGTCAAGGAGGTCACACGTCACAGGGCTGGACGAATCGATCGAAATGGTACAGTAGTTGTGAAATTGAATTATGTAATCACTATCGGGATATCTATATATAGATAACGCACCCAAGGAAGAGTCACTGTAATTATGGTTCCGAACCATAATCAGATCATCCTGCATTTCGGAATTCCCCGTGTGACCCTATGCGCATCAGCCTGAGAATCTAGACCCTTCACAGATGCCACAGTGGCATTGAAGCCCGAAAACATTTTAGAGATTTGACAGGTCTCAGCTTCATTGTCATATCTCTTTACAAGCTCCGTATCCAGATATGGGCCTGACGGTACCTGGTAGATGGATCTAAGCATGCTTTTGACGCCACTATACTGGACGTCTCTGCCCTTCCTCAAAATTTTGTCAATCCTATGACTTATCAAATGATGGCATAATGATACACAGAAGAACAAGCTTCGAATGCACAGAACTGTGATGTCTAAATGCCGAACGGGCGATCAACTTTACACGGGCATCATCTTTTTCCCTACAACACAGGAAACTTAGGAAGCCTCAGAATCGCACTTGAGGCTCTCTGTCAGTTGCATCCTTGTTGTCAAGTATCACACCTTCCACCGCGAGCTTAATCTTCTTGTCCGCTAGTCTATCATCACCTTATCGAAAGTTTCAAAATCCTATGCCAATTAAGATATCATTCCGGCTACTCTAAGTATGCATTCCGCACGTCTATAAGAGTGTTATTACAGAGCTTCCGTTGAATATACACCATTATTGATCTGAGATTCTACCATTGATGTCGTGTCCTAATAGATATTCACCGGTCTCTTCACATGGGGAATTCCGAAATTTAGGACGATATGATTTTGGTTCCGGAACTTAATCACGTGATGCTGCCCTGGGCGTGTTATCTATATAAAGTAATCCTGACGGCATCAGGGTTATGTAATTAGGTTTCAGGAACTAAAATAAGATGATCCTAAATTTTTCGATTCCCTTGGTCGAAGGGTGTGTGGTTCGAATCCGAATATTGATGTCAGGCACCAACCCACGCTCCCACAACTTCTTCTCAAAGCTTTGTGGATGGAAAGCTTTAAGAAGAAGTTGCGATACCGTCAAGTGACAAAGCCTGCGGTAGCAACGTGGTTTCCTTGTTAGTCGTTTCCAGTTGGTGCCATGCACATCGCCACGGTCGCATACTCACTACGGGAACTGAATCACCGACTAGCCCTTTATAATGCTGAGTCAACATTGCGGTGGTTTTTTTTTGTCGCAGTTTGATAGTGCGTGATTTGATGATTAAACTTTATCTTTCTTCAAGGATTCCGCAACCGTTTTGGGCTCCTTTAACAATGTGAGTTCGCTTGAAATAAATTCAAGTTCACAGATTCAAACAAATAATGAGCTAGCGTTGATGTATATTGAAGACTGATCATGTAAATCTCGGTAACATTCAACTATTAAATTGAAATACAAAACCACAGCCTTGCTGAACAAGTAGTCACGGTCTTGAAAATCTTTAAAAATGCATTTGAATATATCTTTTGGGAAAATTCTTAGTAAATACAAGGTATACTTCATTTTATCACATCGTATACTCAAGACTGATCTTGTGCTAAAGCCTGAAGAATGAAAAAATCACCCGTGGGAGCAACAGGCCTACCTCCAGGACGCCCTTTATCATGCGAATTCTAGTTCCTATGAACACTACTAGGCTTATTGACAATATGTCATCGTGTGAATTTTTTATTCGATGTTGCTTTATCGAGCATATCGAAACAAATTTTCGCCTCAACGTAGCCCGTTCTTGCTTCAGCTTTTCAATATTCAACAACATATGAAACCGGGAGGTTCATTTCTGATGGAAGTTCCATAGCCGAGAAACTTATGTCATTTAAAATTAGAAGCTAGCAAGTTAGCGAAGTCCCAAATCGGCTCAAAATTTCATGTTCAAGGGGGTGATTTTCAATTCGAACTTTTCACTAAGGTTAATATCTTAGAACGGGCATCTCTCGATCTGTGTCCTTCCAATCTGTCGTGAATTAGTGGAAATATCACCGTGACAGACAGGCACCTATCTCATTGATGATATACTGGTTTGACTAGACTATCGTGTGTTATCGCATCCAAGAGGGGTAATTCATGAATTCGTACGTGACTCCTAGTTCAACACCAGCGGCACACGGAACTAAGTCATGTCTGTTATCACATTCAGTCGAATTTGCTTCACAGGGCGTCGATATCAACTCCACACTCTTTGTGTTCTGGAATTCTTCAACCTGAATGATTTGGCGATGCCGTTATCGTTGGACGGACCATGTCTACATGGAAGCAAAAATAATAGCTTCCAGGGTTTGTCCAGGGGAAATGTCAGTCTCCCTTGATAAAGAGGAAGAAAGAGTTGTGATACGTGCCTGATACGTAAACAACAGGATTTGACCCAACCGATGTGTCCTCGCCAAATTGGAAATATGGAATAATCGCTCCTGGTTTGAACTTCTGCCTTCCCCACCTCACCACACACATATCCGTCGCCTCCCTCGCTAGTATAGAACATTGTCAAGTCCCAATGACAGTCAGTGCGCACTGTGCTCTCTTCACGAAGACCCCTACTAATTAGTGGTTGTGCTTAACAATTAATAACGATATCTTTGGTTGACTTTTTCAACCCTCACAGACACTCCCTAGACGTGATTTATGTCTAGCATGCCGGGTTAAGTCAATTTATAAGAGGGGCATTAAGCAACTGGTAGATGCACTTCCTAGCGGCGCGGACGTACAAGCAACCCAGTGAGTACATATACTGCTGCGCCACAATGCACTAATTGGCATCGTTGAGCAGGTATCGGTGCACCTGTCCTGGAGGAAAATATGAAGCTCCTCCAGAAGAACCTATGGGGCGCATCGAGGCCCGGTGAATACTCCTTCCTCTTTTCTTCGTGACAACTACTCACGGTCACCCTAGCATAGCTCAAATGAACTCCCCCCCCTATCAGCATGTCTTTTCTTCCACAGACACTGGACACCGAACGAGGTATCCTTTCCTTGAGCCTCATCCCCGACAATCTCTAGGGAAGAGGGTTCATAATGGTGCTGAAGTCGAGATGAACGTCAGGAGCAGATACCATGCTGTGAATCGACTCTCACCGTCCACCTCGAATGGTTCCTCTGGAGCCTCAAATCACATTTTACTCCCGCCTATCGATGGCGATTACTCCCCATGGCGTCACCTATCTCCCACAGGTGATGACCAGCGCGGCGCATCGTCGAGCTGGTGCTCTTCACCCACCGAGATCTCTGGCAGCTCTTTGCTTCATTCCCACTCTGACCGATTGTCGCGGGTCTCAAACGCGGATAACAGACAAAGATATCAGCCCTACTTTCGATCCAGGCCGCTGCTACGCTACACACAAGACAGCGATAAGCAGCTACCAGAGAACTTCCGAGACAACTCGACATCTCCTCCTGGCATGCTCCTGGGTAATGATCCAGAGGAAAATGTCATGACCAGAATCCACCGGCACGATAGTCGCCATTCCAGCCCTCCTCCGCATGTGCTGGACATGGAAGGCGGACGTCGGTCTGTCAGGCTTCATGATTCTTTCGTTAATCGTGACCGCAAGTTGCCCCCGCTAGTCCTTGATCGTGAAGATCTTCGTTTACCCCCTGTCCACCGACCGTATCGGTATGAAGCCACATCATCTGAGAATGAAGGCTATCGCTCGCTTCACGAAGACTTTCCGAGTCTTAGTCGACACCAGCTGCCGACACCTCCTGGAAGTAGCTCATCGCCGCTTGCCCCCAACTTCCGCGGATTTTCTGATCATCATCGACCCTGGCGATCACGGCCCATTCATCAGCCTCAGGAGGCTTCACGAGAGAAGGATCATCGTGATGTTAGAGGGACTTCCAGAGATCTGCCACCTCCCATCTATGACTCACTAATGGATGAGGCACTATCAGACGATAACTATCCTAACGACAGGATTTCAACTTCGATCCCATTTTACATGTTGTCGAGGATGACCTACGGCACACAAGAGCGCAACGAAGGCTATACTCACGATAGGGTACTTCATAGTGCCTACGAGGACTCTAATCAATCCCTGCTGAACAGCTCCCACAGCGATAAGGCATTCGGACCCTCAACCAACAAAGAGTATGCAGCAGCATCCAGAAGTTTACCCAGCCCCATCGATGACTTGCCAATGAACGAAGCATCCTTTGACTTAATCCACGGAAATAACAGATCCCGGATGTCTGGTACCTCTACTGCGTCAACGAACAGCGACGCCTCAGTACTGTTAGCGACCGATTACACAAACAAGATCAAACAACTAAGCGTGACTCGCACTTCGGTCAGGCGCTTTATGTTGCTCGCAGGTTTGCATGCAGGGAGCTATCGCTTAGTTGAGCGAGAGTGAGTTCAGACTAAGTTATCGGGTGAATAAACTTTAGTTCGAGACTGAGGTTTAAGACCTGCAGTCGAGCTACTTAAATACAGTTTGAACCGTTCTAAGTATAGTACGAGAGTCTGTAACGGTGCGTTAAACACACGGTACGAGCATGGTGTAAAGCGATCAGAGTCAGAAGATTAGCATAGCGGGATTACGATGGAGTCGATAAGATAAGATAAGGCATGAAATCGTAATATTACCCCCCTGTTAAGGCAGTCGTCCTGACTGCAACGTAATTCGGCTTTGGTAGGTATGCGCCGACTAGAGTTCTCGGATTTGGCTGAATGAGATACTCCTTTATGGCCTGTACTAATGGGTGGTCGACTTCAGACTCGGTTACCGACTCTGTTTCGGACCAAGAGTCAGATTCCTCCCCGTTTTCCCACCAGTCTTTTGGAGGACGAGTAATGAAGGATACTTGTTCATAGTCTTCAATGGCCTCCCGTGCGTTGTCCAGTTCTTGCTCGTCTACCCAGGAGTTTTCTTCATGGGGGTAACCCTTCCACTTGATGAGGTACTCGGTCTTGGTATGTCGTTTTCGTCCTCGTCCCACCGTCCTTTCCCGTCGGTCAACTATTTCCTCTACCTCATACTGCTCCTGTCCATCCACTAGGTCTGGTGGTGGGGCTACCGGTTGTATCTGGATGGGAAACTCCGGTGCCTGGTATGGAGTTAACAGGCTTTCGTTAAACCGGTTATGAATTTTCCAGGTAGGAGGTAGTTTCAGCTCGTAAGCGGAGGCGCCCTTTTTTGCGAGTATTTCGAAGGGTCCTACGCGTTTGTCTCCGAGCTTTTTCATGGGACGGGGAAGATGAAGATTGGTTGAGTCGAGCCACACTTTATCTCCTGGTCGATACTCTATTGCTGGTCGCTGGTGTTTATCGTATTGGCGCTTCATTGTTTCCGCTGCTTTTTCCAGGGCGATAGCTGTTTGTTCATGTATTTTCTGTATTTCTGCGACGAAGTCCCTGGCCGCTGGGTTCGTTCCTTCCTTGATAGTGAGTGGTGCGAGATGAGGTTTTTGACCGTGGTTTATTTCGAATGGCGAGTAGCCGGTGGTGGAGTGTTTTCGATTGTTGTGTTGAAACGCTGCCAAAGGTAGCCACTCGCTCCAATCATTTTGTCTATGATTGATGAATATTCGAAGGTACTTTTCGATTTCTTGATTCGCTCGTTCAGTTTGCCCGTCTGTCTGAGGGTGATACGCGGTGGACGGGTTTCCCTGGATATGGAGCATGTCGTATAGTTCCTTCATGAATTTGGACACGAATTGTGGCCCGCGGTCCGAGATAACCTTTTGGGGCATGCCATGCTTGGCCCACACATGATCCCATAGAATCCGGGCCCATCCTGCCGAGGTTAGGTCTGTGGAGCAGGGGACCGGGATAACCTCTTTAGAGAATCGGTCTACGATCATGAGAATGGCGTTATAACCGTTGGAGTCTGGTAACTCTCCAATCATGTCTACGGTTATGTGTTCCCATGGCCTGGAAGGTGTTGCGTGGGGGTGCAGGGGTGCCCGCCTTTTCTGGGTGCTTGTCTTGGTGCGTTGACAAGCTTCGCACCCCTTTACATATCGTTCTACGTCATTTTTGAGTTTCGGCCACCAATATTCCCTTTGCACGAGCTCCTTTGTTTTCTCGATCCCTGGATGTCCCGCTGTGATGTGATCGTGATGGTAAGCGATGAGTTCCCCTCGTAGTTGGGCGTCCCGGGGTACGTATAGCCTTCCATCGTAATACATTAACCCTTCCTTTTGGGTTATTCCTCGGGGATGATGAAGGGATGCTTCGATCCCTTTATCCCAGTGGGTGACGTCTCGTAATGCCGTCTTGATCCTTTTGTGTATCTCCTCTTCTCCTGGCATTATGAGCGCTCGAAACATTTCGGGTTTTAGCATTACTACTTCGCGGTTGTCCTCACTTCCTTGATCATGGTCTGCTCGTCTTGACAACAGGTCGGCCTTCTTGTTTGCCGTTCCTGGTTTATGATGTAGAGTGAAGTGGTACTCTGCTAGCTCCGTCACCCACCACGCTTGTCGTCGGTTGAGCTTTTGTGGTTTTTGGAAATATTGGAGATTTTGATGATCTGTCCAGATCTCAAATTCCTGATGTGCGCCCATTAGATAATGTCTCCAATCTTCCAGGGCTAGCATGATTGCTAGTAGTTCCTTGTCGTAAATCTCGTAATTGCGTTCCGTTACCGTTAGGGCCTTGGATAAGAACGCCACCGGTCTCCACTTTCCTTCTTGTTCCTGTGATAGTACTGCCCCTATTGCTCCTTCACTTGCGTCCGCCTCTACTCTGTATTTTCCGGTATGGGTGGGTATCGCCAGTACTACTTCTTCGGCTAGCTTCCTTTTGATTTCTTGGAAGGCCTTTTCCTGCATCGTGCCCCATGTCCATTCTGTCTTTCCGGTGAGCTGGGTTAAGGGTCGCACGTGTTTGCTATAATCCCGGATGAACCTTCAATAGAAGTTGGTGAACCCTAAGAACGATTGTAGTTCTCGTTTCTTTGTGGGTTGGGGCCATTCCGTGATTCCTTTGACTTTGATGGGATCCATACGAATTGACCCCTCGCTGATGATTACTCCGAGGTACTCAGTTTCTAGCACCTCGAATTCACATTTCTCCGCTTTTAGGAATAGGTTGTTGGCACGGAGGATGGCTAGCACTTCTCGTACTACGGCCTGGTGTTTGTCTTGATCCTTGGTGCAGATTAGGATGTCGTCCAAGTATACGGTGACATCCCCTCGTGCAATCTGCTCCTTGAATAAGTCGTTCATCATCCATTGGAAGGTGGCGGGAGAATTGGTAAGCCCGAAGAACATTACCATGGGTTCGAATAGTCCTCTGTTTGTTCGGAAGGCCGCTTTCCACTCGTCTCCAGCTTTTATGCGCACATTGTTATATCCCCATCTGACATCCAGTTTGGTGAAGTATTTGGCGTCCTTGAGTTGATCCATTAGTTCTCCTATGAGCGGGAGAGGGTATCGATTTTTAATGGTCATCTCATTCAACTTCCGGTAGTCTTGCACCGGTCGAAGCTTTCCGTCTTTCTTTTTGACAAAGAAGAAAGGGGAGGCCATCGGGGATTTAGAAGGTCGAATCCTTCCTGATTCTAGGTTTTCGTCGAGAAATTGGTCAAGCTCCTCTTGTTCGGCGGGGTTTAGCGGGTAGACTTTGCAATCTAAACTGGCGTTTGCATTGGGAATGAGTTCAATGGCATGATCCCATGGTTTTCGAGGGGGTAGCTCGTCGAAGTTTTCCTTGGCGAAGATGTCTTGAAATTCCCGGTATGCTTCGGGAACGATTTCTTCAAACGTTTTTGCTTTCTTGTCTTGGTTCGCCTTGGCAGCTAGTTCGTTTGCTTTGCTGCCCATGGCTCGCACATGCAAGGCTTCTTCAAAGTCAATAAGAAGAATGGTGTCTCCTTCTTCTACTTCCGCGCCCCAGTTTTGCTCTGGATCCTCATCTGGCAACGTGAATGGTATGTGGCGGCACGCACATCGTGCTAGTGTGACAGCCCCGGTCTTCCAGTCAATGATTGGATTGTGTCGTTTAAGCCAGTCATGTCCCAAGAAGAGGGATACCCCTCCTAGATCTACCACGGCGAGGTCTATCTTTTCGTGGTGATCTCCTATCGTCATCCGGAGTTCCACTACTTCTGTTATGTCTCCGCCCTTGTTTCGACTTCCGTCTGCATTGTACACGGCTTGGGCTTTGGTTAGCTTTACCGTATTGAGTTGATGCTCCTCCACGAAGGTTCGGTTTATGCAGCTTCCGGTGCATCCGCTGTCTACGAGGGCGTTGGTGGCATATTCTCGTCCCGTGTCTAGGGTTTCGAGCTGTACCTTGATGTTAACACTCCTTCCCTTGCCACCTCGTATGTACTGCGGCGGGGCACGCAGGTCCTCCATGTTTTGTAGGCATAACTCGCGCTGTCGATACGTCTCTCGTGATGATCCTATGAGATCTAGGACCAGATCTTCATCAACTTCGATTAAGCGCCTCGGGTGTATCCACATGCGCAGGGTGGCCAACTTCCCTTCCATGGTTTTTTCTTGGCGCATTTTTCTCCTAACCCACTCCGCGCTGTGTGGCTTCATCCAACCCTGATCCCACTTGTCGTTATAGTATTCGTTCTCCAACTCAGTCACCTCGTAATCTTCCGGGTACTCCTCGGTGTGTGCCACCGGGTCTTCCCCTTTTTGTTGCTTCTTGAGGCTTTGTTGATAACTGTAGTCGTCTTCCTCATCCGGTACTTCTTCAATAGAAACGGTCTTTTTATTGGGACTAGGGAATGCACATAATGGTCCCACCGACCCACCCACCGGGGAACACGGGCCCCCGGTGCCATTATGTGTTAGCGATGAGGGGGGGAGACGCACCGTTATCTGCTGTGAAGGGATGGGGTCCCCGGTCGTCTTGACTGTTCTTTTCGGGGCAGCGGTTTTGTTGCTGGGGATTCGCGTTCCCTCTTGCAGCTCCGTTCCACGATGGGGGCAGTCGGTCACTCGTGGCTGGCGCGTACATTCCGCCCCCGAGTGGGGTTCTTCACTGCTCGCCTTGGGCTCGGCCGCTCTTCCTCTGTTTCCCACGCCGTCATCTGCCCCCAACGGAGTGAGGTTGATCCCGAGTGTCCTGCTGCCTTGCGCAGCGTTAGCCACTTGTGCTTTCGCACCGGTGGCCAAGGATCTTGAGTGGGGTTCTTCTTCGAGCACGGTGGAAATCCCCTGTACACCGTTCTTCCTTTTATGCGACTTGGTAATTTCATTTTGTGATAACGTGAAAGATTTGTCATTGCCTCGAGATACTACATGCGGTAGATTAGTCCGTCCTGCGGGTTCTGATGACGCACCACTAGATGAAATTAAGTCCTTAGCCGACGCGCGTTTGTCGCTTACGCCGCCGGCTCGTCTTTTACCTCCTCGATCTTTGACGTGGAGGCCTCTCCTTCCTCATCCTTCAATACCTGTTGATACATTGCGCGAATTTGGGCTCGGGAGAACTTGGGCTGGTGCTTGATGAGCCACGTGCTTTCGTCCTTTGGGCACTTGTTGTCTTGCTTCCAATGTCCCTTGTGACCGCAGCGGAAGCATCGTCCTTCTTTCCGCAGTCGATCTATTTCCATCGGTTGCCCTTGTCCTCCATATGTGGTTCCCGTTCCTGTCTTCTTATCTCCCTGGGAATTCCCGGAGCTTCCGGCTTTTCCCGTTCCCTTGTTCTGTTGACCCTGCGATCCTTGATTTCTACCTGCATCCTCCGCTAGTCCCACGCGGTAATTATAGTCCATTTGTTCCACTCGGAATTTCCATTCCGCATAGGTGCGTGGTAGCGCAGTCCCGGTGGCATGTATGGCTGTTTTGACGTTCTTTCGGATGGCTGGCTTGAGTATCTCGATCATATACTCTTCATTGTGACGCTTTCCTGACTCTTTGGCTAGACGTTCGAAGTCCCGGAAGAATTCTTTGGCCGACTTGTAGGTGTTTTGTCGGATGCGCTTGAACTCTTGTAACTTGAGTTCTACTTCCGCGTCGGTTCGGAACTGATCTTCGATGATCTGTCTAAAAACGTGCCATGCGGGGTATCGTAGATACCCGCATGTTTCATCGTAGTAGTCATCTCGAGCGTGATTCCACCAGTGTAAGGCTTTGTCTGCGAGTCGGAACGTGCAGAACACCACCCGGTTTGGGTTTTGTCCGTGGGCATTCATGGTGAACTGTTGAGGGAATACATTAAAATAGTCCTCGCACTGATTGAGGAATCTGTCCACGTCACTGGACTCTCCTTTGAACTTTTCGGGAGGGTCTGCGAGCTGTGGTTTCACTTGTCCCCACGGGTTCGTGTTTGCCACTCCCACGATAAAGGGTGGTGGCGTGTTTGGGGGTTGTACAGGGTCGGTGGGAATGGGAATTGCTGCCGGGCGCGGTAGTGATCGTAATGCAGGGTTGTGATGCGGGGTTAGAGGACCTTGTGGTGCAGGGGCTGGTACTGCGGGTTGGGCTGGTATCGCAGCCGCATTTCCTGCACTTCCTGGGGTTCCTGCAGCCGTGAATAGTCGGCTAGGGTCTACGTACCCTGTTCTTCGGAGAATCGATAAGTGGCTCAAGTCCACTGTGCTTCCACTCGTTTCTGACGGGATAGGTACTTGGTATCGTTCCCCGGGGTCCGTGTAATCATCCGGGTGTACTTGGTTCCACAGAGTGTTGGTGTGATAGACGGTTTCTCGATAAATCACCCGGGCCCCGATTTGCGAGTTCTTTTCCTTTTGGAAGTACCTTCCTTGCGGTGAACTGTTCCATGACAGCTCCCGGGGTAACTTTTTCTCAGTCCATCGCAGCATTTCCAAATAAGTCATATTTTCCAGCTCGGCCTCAGTAGGCTCCCGAGCTAGATCCTTCCACGAATTCGGGGATAACATCCTCCTCTCCGTATTCTCCGACTCTATGCTGTTGCTGTAGGTCGAAGTCCGCCCTGTTCCAGGGTTCTCGTAAATTTCGCCTTCTTCTAATTCCGATAGGTCAGACTCGCTCGAAAGGCTCCGTGCTTCCCGTGATGATACGGTTCCAGTTTCGAATGATTCTTGCCCACTCGTTGACCCTGAGTATGACCTGCTCGAAGTCTGGTCTTCGGGGTCTATCCCATACCCAGGGTGCAACGAAGGGGATGGGGGCTGCATGGGGGTGTTCTGGCGCGAGGGGATAGATGACGTATGGGACGACGGAGGCAGGGGCCTCGATTCCTTTGTACATGAGCCAGGCGTCGGCGTAGTCCTGTACTTGTCTGCATATATCGCAGCTGGCGTCGGCGTTGTACGTGGGTCCACACTCGTCGAGCTCGGTAGTGGCTTCCCCGGCCCGATCGTTGATGATGATTGGGGTGTTCGGGCAGGTGACGAGGTTGAGGTAACTGCCTTCGTCGTCTGAGGAGTCGTCGCGGGCATAGTGGTAGCCCCACGTTTCTCCTCTGGAGTCCAACCTTGGAGGGGACCAGTGGTTGCGCGGCCCTGGGAGCTCGTCGCTGTCGTAGTCCTCCTCTGTATCGCTGCCTTCTTCATTTGAACTGCTTCCAGTTCCATCTTCAGCCTCTCTTCCTTCTCCCAAATGATATCTAAGCCCTCTTTGATAGAGGCGCTGTCCGTCTGAATCATATCCAGGGTTGGCGGCTGAGTTTTCGGTTGATGTGGGGGAGGGGGCGTTCCAGGGGTCACTTGTTTCGCTTTCCCCTTCTGTTTCCTCTTCGGTAATGGGAGAGAGAACATGCTGGTCCACCCCTTGTTCATAGACTCCTTGCTCTTCTTCTTCTTCAACGACTGGGCCTCTTTGTGTGGGCCATCCTTCCACCTCGGAGTCGGACTCACTGGACTCGCTTGTGTCGGAGTCCTCTGTGATCCACTCGTCGTCTGTGATGAAGACGAAATGGATAATGGGTTTGGGTCTGTCGTCGATGTAGTTGGGAGGGGGTGTGTCCGCTCGTCTAGCCTCCGGGTTGGGGGCTTCGACGGGGATAGTTTCTTCGGAGACTGGCTCCTGGGTTCGTCTGTATTCGTATCCATATAGGAATGCTAGGTAGACTAGGGCACAAAGGCCTTGTAAGCCGATGAGGTCAGTAATGGTTTGGTCGATGGGGTTCATTCGTTTGTCTTCGTCAACGTGGTTGTTGATGAAGAGTAGGAAAGTCTCGAACTAATTGTTAGCGACCGATTACACAAACAAGATCAAACAACTAAGCGTGACTCGCACTTCGGTCAGGCGCTTTATGTTGCTCGCAGGTTTGCGTGCAGGGAGCTATCGCTTAGTTGAGCGAGAGTGAGTTCAGACTAAGTTATCGGGTGAATAAACTTTAGTTCGAGACTGAGGTTTAAGACCTGCAGTCGAGCTACTTAAATACAGTTTGAACCGTTCTAAGTATAGTACGAGAGTCTGTAACGGTGCGTTAAACACACGGTACGAGCATGGTGTAAAGCGATCAGAGTCGGAAGATTAGCATAGCGGGATTACAATGGAGTCGATAAGATAAGATAAGGCGTGAAATCGTAATAAGTACATGATAGCCCCCGTCGCAGAATGCATCTTGATGGTGCACATGAAGAGGCTGGCCATGTAGTACAGCCAAATGCTGCTGTACCCGTTTCTGAGCCTTTACAATCGAAAGTGACCGGGATGTCATACAGTCCCCCAACGTCTGATGATGAGGAAGTCGACCAGCTGAGCGAGGATAAGCCAAAGTCAGGCCCAGTTAACACAGGCTATTCGCAATTCCAATTTATGCCAGGGAACACCACTTCTCGTACCTACAAAACGGTCTTTTATCCCGGTGACGACAAGGCTCTTCCCAGCACATCTTGGAATACATGTGCGATGCTTGCCCTCACAGATCCAGACCATTCTACTGTGTATGCTGACATCAGAAGGATGCAACAACTTGAAAAAGATTCACTTACCGCAATCCCTCGCGCGTCTGAATTCCACTTCTTTTACGACTCTTCTATGTCAGATATAGTTCATAATTCTCCGTACCCGAAATCCTTGTTGTTCTCGAACAACCCCTTCCTCGATGCACACATCGTCGAAATCCAAGAGGTCTCATTCCCTGGCAATTCTGTTTTGGAGACGCACGGTCCTATTCCAGCATTCACTTCAACTAGCCCTACTGCCATGGATGAAGTCATTTCCACCACCTCCGAGCTCGATTCCCTCACTGAGGATTCTGAGTCCTGTGTATACAGGATTTGGTCTGCAACCTGAGCTCTAATTGTGGCTGTGTATGTTGGTGTCATGTGACTATGTGCCTGCTTACTCATCGCCTACGCCTGCCCCTTCATTTTTACTCTCTTTTCGCTCTTTCTCTCTTTTTTACTTTATTTTAACGCTGGAAATGTCTACCACACTCTTTCTAACTTTTTCATGTCCTCAATAAGTACCCGACTTTGCATTTTAGACACTCCCCTTTCGCTGTCAAGTAGTTATATTTTGTTTCCAATGCCTTACTATCAAAAGTCTTCAGTGTTCTTTCCTGCACTTGCATACCCACTGGCTACCACCCATACGCTCCCCACTCTCTTCAAAACGCTAGTGAAGGCATCCCATGGTTATATCGTCATTCCAGACAAAATAACCTTATATCATCCAGGACCTCTGACTGTCGAAATAATTACAGAGTCTACAACTGGCATATGTTCTCTAATAACATATTTTTATCATTTATGTCACCGTCCTCAATCTCCTTGACCACATTGACGCCAAACCAACCCTTCACTAAACACTTTGCGTTACCTCCACTCAATGCCTCGGCAACCACAAAGGCACCATTCCGCTCACCCTTCGTACACATTCCAACGATCACATCTTGCCCTAAAGTCTCAACGAACTGATCCGCAAAAAAAGGCCGAATCCCACCCGAGCACCTTTTCAACGGCGTTGTTCGCTCGGTTGTAATGCCTGCCCTAGAGGAGAGTCTTGTACATACAACAATATCATACTGTATACCATATAGTTTCTGTGAGAGATACTACCGAACGTTCTTTACAGCAGAATCAGAGCCCAAGAAGAACATATCGTATCATGCTTCCACTCCTCCAGGGTTGGCGACTCTCCGAATTTATCAGCCAGAGCTCCTGGTAAGGTTAAAAACGTCCTCAATCCATGCAAAAGAGCCCCGTCAACCTCCTGCATATTTGCAATTTGACACGGACGTCCTTTGTATAGTCATCCAACCGTTCAGTTGCCATGTGAAGGACCTGACCAAAGATGGTTGCCAACAATTGGTTCTTGAAGTGTATGATAGCCATCGTAGAATGGCTGTTACATACCACCCATAGGCTCATAGGAGCCCTTGAGGTCTAATACAAAAACATGAGCATCACGAAGTAATCTTTCCAAAAGAATATGCGCCATCTCCTCGCTCAAAGTCAATCTTCAGCGCATAACGCTCACCATCGAAGCCACTCCTCGATCTATCTTCCTTATCAACCGTGCTAATTCTTTACCAAACCTTTCTACAAAGACCAAACAATGCTGTGATAAGCCGGTATTTTGAGGGGGTTTGTGTATTTATCTCTGTATTTGATTCGCAAATTTACCTGAGAAAATACTGAATGAAAACCTGACTGTTTTTTGAATGAAATATACCTAAGAGTATTTCATTAAAAAAACAGTCAGGTTTTCATTCAGTATTTTCTTAGGTAAATTTGAGAATCAAATACAGAGATAAACACACAAACGGTATTTGACCCCTCAAAATACCAGCAGTAAAATGTCTCACATGACGTCACCGTTCACTTGTCAAATGCAAGCCTCATTTCCTCAATATCATCGCAGGACTAATCGAACTATCCGCCGTGGTTATGACTTGACGGAATCATGCATCGTAGTAAATGCGGTCCGTAATTAGAAATGCTATCGCGTGGCCTGAATGGCTGTGTGATACGATCAGAATAGCCATATACGGGAGATCGACGATCAAAGTGCCTGGCGTATTAAGACGGGATGAATAATAACTTGTCGTAGACGCGTCGCCCATTAAACGTGGATGTAATGGTGCTCATTAAGGGTCAAGCTCATATTATAGAATTATTTATATTGCTTAAAATGCGCGGATTCTAAACGTACAGAGCCATGAGGCTCATCACTACGTATGAGATCCGAGGATTAAAAGATCTGTATTAAACTGTTACTCCCATTTAACACCAAAAAAACTTGAGAACAACAAGGTACTGATATGCAGGTGGTATCGCTCCAAGTACTCGTTATCATCTACAAAAAACTCAAGTTCGTTGGTAGCTTCCGTTTGATCTAAGATGCTTGGATAGCTGAACCAAATCTCAGTGAATCAAGATACGATTACGCCTAAAGATAACCGGATACGTACTGCTCGTTATAATACTTCAAGCTAATAATGAGCTTCTTGTAGAACAAAAGTCGACTTGCAATTCCGCTACTAAACTTTAACTAATACCAACAAAATCAGTTCAAACAACTTGCCTTCTCCTTCAGAACAGCGAAACAAATTTCGGCGGACCTAGCTAATTGCGGCTTGAATTATCTCTCCTGTTGCTGGTCATCCTTCTCTTTTATGACCAAAAATAACCGTGTTTCCCACCATACAGAACGAGCATAATGTGCTGTAAGTTGAGAAACAGTAGTCTTGCCCTTCTACAACTCTTGGAAAAACAGTTTTGATTGACAATTCAATTGCTTCATTATTCACAAACACTTGAGTGAGACGCTGAGACGGGTCAACGAAATGCTTGAAATCCCAGATGTTGTATGATTGTACATACCCGATGACCGACTCCAAGACACTGTAACTTAAGCCACAGGGTAGAAAAGTCTGTAGAAGGCAATGCATATTGGCATGAACTTGATCAATCGCAGTACATCGTTCCTTGTGCATAAGCAAGCTAAGACGAGCCCACTTCTTGAGGCACAGATGCTACTGGCTGTGAAGAGTATACACCTGTAATAGCTGGAGGAACAACGATAACCGACGTCAACACGGCCGGGACTGGTAAAGGAGCAATAATCGCAGGCTGCAGCACAGCTGGACCTGATAGAGAAGCGGTGATCGCCTGCTGCACAACTGGACCAGACGAAGGTGTGGGAATGGAGAAAGGTGGAGAAACGATAGTAACAAAAGGTTGGCCCATATTCGCAGGCTGTGAAGGCTCCGTAAACGATTATTGAGTGGTCGATATAACAGATGCGGGTGGAGCCACAGTGGCTGTAGGAATCGCCATGATACGGTCTGTTACATCATTCAAGACAGTCTAAAAGGAAGCAAAACAACGGTCTGTCGACTGCATGAATGAATCAACCCTTGCACCAAGAGCTGTGAAGTAATCTGTAAGGAACGGGGGTTGAGTATGAGTCGCAATAACATCACCAATATAAGTACAAACATCGGTACAAACATCGGTGAGTTGGGAAGTAAGCACCTCCTCCCTTTCAATGACCTCCTTATCATGAACACCCATCGCCTCCCCAAAATCAATGACAGCGACAGCAATGCAAAGCTGATTTATATCCAGACATGCGAAGGTATCATTCAGCTCCTCACCCAGGGTCGCAGCATGCCCACCACCCCAACGCAGACAGTGGCGCCATCGACTACAGGAACAAAAGGACCAGAAGGAGAGACGACGGCCGTTCCCTTCGTAGATGTGGACGTCTTCGGTTTGACCGATGGTGTATGCTCCACTTTAGACGTTCCAGGTTCCTTATTCCATGTACTCACGCGAGTGGGGTCAGTGAGCTTTACCCGTTTCTTCACTGCCGAAGTGCTGGTAGAAAAAGGAAATGAGGAGATGGGTCAGTTCGCAGGATCACCCGTTAGAATATCCTCTTGCCTAGATCCATCACAGCTCTCCAAAAAGATTCCCTCTGTGAGAGCAGCGACGACGTATTGTGCCCATGTGTCATCATCACAGTCTAGGTTGAGGTTTCCCGGAACTACCATGTCTATTGAACGAAAATTAAAAAAGACGTTCCGTTCGGAAGAACAGGCAGTTAAAGTCATGGCCGACTACTTGTTCGTTTGAAACACACGAGTAATAGCACTGTGGCATTTGTAGGTGAGGATCAACCTAGAAGAAATGAGTTAACCATGAATTTAAAGCTACGCGCATGCGCCAACTTGATCAGCAACCAATCCTCACAGTCCTCCCAACCCTTCAACAACCTTCACAAGACAACCTCAAATCGAACGACCCATCTTCAAAGCAAGTATATCAGCTTTGACATATGTATAAAAATGACTCATTTTACAGGATGATATTTAGATGCCACCAAGCACACAACAATTCCTTACCCTACAGAAAAGATTAAAGTGAGTAAAGAGAAACAAATGTAAGGTGACGTCAAGGTCGCTAACAGTACAACCTACTATCTGTTCTTCCTGACATGATCACCTGCATAGAAAAGGATGGAAATCGATGCCTGTTTCGGCCATTGGAAGGGTTTATTTGCGACCTTGTCTCGGATCCTAGCGACTGATGGTGTATCCATCCAAGACTTTGACACATTCGGGGAGGCTGATCATATAACTTTGTGAAATAAACCCTCGTCTCTTCCTTGACATCAGCAATCAATTCATCAGTGTAAGGGATCTGGACTTTATCTATGTACTATTATTTACCTACGTCTTTAGCAGTGCCCGTTATCCTTCCGAGTTCGGACTTTCACATCTGAATCACTTACTTTCATCATCTACGTTTACCTTACTGCTTGTATCTTTGACTCTCTCTCTCGCAATACACCCCGTTGGCGTGTGTAGCTCTTCGGTTAAAGGACCTCGTAAGGTATCGTAACCTTTACACTTTTTTACACATCTTTCATTGTGTATTGTGCTGCGGAGAACCACAGTAGGCTAACGCTTACAGAACTACTTTTTACTGCGACTTCTCTCTTCGATGGCTCAACGCTCAACCTCGGAGAGCTCTGCTGCCGTGCAGCAACCAACCACTCGACCCGAATCTCGACAAGCTGTCGAAATCCTTCAGCAGTTGCCGAACTACACGCCCTCCACCGAGCGTGCGTCGTTATCGCTACTGACTGCCCCCATACCTGCATTGTCCACTGGAAATGCGAGTTCCGTACCGCTGACCACTGCGCCGGCCCTCCTCGTGCACTCTAACGTGCTGTATCGACCATCAGGTATCATCACGTTGCCTGAAGGTACTCCCGCATTGGAGACGTCCATCATCGGACATCTGCGGCCAGCGACGTTCTCGGAATCTCGCTCACCTCCTCACTCAATCGCCCCATCTGTGGCCAGATCCAGTCACTCTACGCACATGTCGTCCATCCACCACGCCCCAGACGACGTATTAGAGCAAGAATTGGCTCGTCGACAACAGCTAAGAGCTATGGGTGCATACGGCCAGTCTCGTGGCTCGGCTCCTCCTGCCTATGCCCACGAAATTACAGATTCATTTCATTTTCCTCCAGTATCTACTCATGCTACATGTGAACAGCTCCCAGCGTTGGTATCACCTGTAACCACTCCTCCAACGTCAACTGACTCCCCGCAAGTCACCTCTTCCGGGGAAGCTATGCCGGTTGTATTCCCTGATCCACCTGAGGCTACGCCTGAGGATGTAAACCGATTTATCGAGGAACGAGTTCGTCTCGCGGCTCGACGCTATAAGGATGGACTTATCTCCCTTTCGACGCAACGTCAGACTACCCTTGGTACTGTATTCCACAGTATACCTAGGCTAGCAATTAATAAGTTTTTTGCTGCTAATTTGAACGCCTCCGGGCAATTCAATCCCATTCCCACTAATGTGAGACCTGAGTTAGGTGATTATCACCATAGCACAGACGAGTACAGTGCGAACATCAACGCTGCTGTCGATAATCTCAGCCTGCCTCAACAGCCAGGTGAAACTGGTTCCAACTATGCACGACGTCGTCATGCCCATGCTCGGCTATCGACGCCACTTATTAAAGGTGAATCTTCACCCACTGTCCCGACTTCACATAGTTCGGAAACTCAAAAAACAGTTGATGCCTTGAATGAAGCTCGACGCGAGGTCTTCAATCGAGGTTTACTTCAACAATTGCATGATGAGGACATGCTATTGTATGGACAAACCATGGTCCCTGACCAGGGTGTTCATATTGATCTGTATGGAGATGCTACTCATCCAGATTTTCCAGGCATTCGGATTTTTCTTCCGCATATACGCTCGGAGGTGTACAACCCTCTTCGAGCTTGATTTCCACCGCCGGAAAACACCTCTGTGCCTCCGACCGGTGTTCCCACTGCTCACGTACGATCCTCTGTATCGCGAGCCTCGTCGCAAACTATTGTTGACCCTATAGAAGAGCGGAACAAGGCTCTGATCTCTAAAATTAAGGGTGAGTATGATAGTGATGCTGATGATGAGGACGACGTCCCTCCTACTCCTAGGAAGAGTAGATATGTTCCCCCACATCGTCGGCCACCATCTCGACATCCTAAGGTCAAGAAGGATGAACCCCCTCTCCAGTTTGGTGACTCGAGACCTCGAGACCAACCTACAAGACCTGAGGCTAGTACTAGGCCAAATACTCGTATTCCCGGTGAAGAACAGAGGCCACGACCATCGCAGGCTCCACCACAGCCTAGGACTCGTGTAGGAGCTGCTGCACCTAATCTTGATCCAGGAGATGACGGATCCTCTAGTGATTCGCAGGATTCCACTCCAGATCCTCTGAATCCACCACCTAATGGTCCTAACCCTCCTAATCGTCACCCAGATCCACCAACGCCGCCTCGACAGCGTCCTAATCGTCCACAACGTGGTGCTACACCTCTAGTGCCTTCACCTCGACCCCAGGCCATTCCTGTGAGCGCGCAGTCGAATCACTATGATCTTCGCGAGCCTGCTAGTTACTTCGACTCTGTTTTGGCTCGTAACCAACCTCGTCGGCCACAACAAGCCCAGGACTCGACCTCACATCGAGAGCAAAATCCAGCACCTCCTCAACGAACTGCACCACATTCGGAGAATCATGCAAGCCCAATTAATGTGGATAGTCCCACTTCGTCTCGTAATCTAGGTGCAGGTCGTCCTCCTAACGATCCTCCTCCTCCGCCACCACCTGGAGGACCAGGATCTCATCGTAGCGGTTCCAGTAGCCGACATTCGTCATGCTCTGATAACCCACAAGCTCGCGAACTGACTCCTGCTCATTTTCAGGAAGTCCATTTCACATCTCAGGAACCTCGTTTCAACAACGAGGAGATATTCGAGTATCTCCCTGTTATGAGATCTGAGGTTGAAATTATGCTTGCGATTTTTCAGCGCTATGAACGCCTCGTGAATCGCAATCTCTTGCGTGTTCAACGAGGACTGGATTCTAATGTCCAGAAAACATCTTTACAGAGTATTCCTCGTCCCCAAAAATATGAGGGAAGCTCTGACCTTATAGAATTCGATGAGTGGATCTTCTCTATCATTAGATGGATGAAGATCGCAAATATTTGCGGCCCTGTTTATACTGAAGATGAATGGGGTAGACAGCAGCTTTCTGCCATTGATATGCAGCGTACGAGCACTCTTGCAACCTTTTTGGGGGGAGACGCCCGTACGTGGTATAACAATGTAGTTGAAGACACACCTATCGCTTATACCAATAATGCGAATGGTGAAGATTTTCCTACTTTCATGGAAGTAATTAACGGTCTGTACCGTCGATTTATCCATGAATCTTCATTATATGCTGTTAACGAACACTTTGAGCGTGTTCAGTACACTTTTGAAGGTGGTGTTCGCCAGCTATTTGCGAGTTTATTACGATTTGCAAACATGATGCCTTCACCACCAGACATCTATACGTTCCGACGACGTCTAATGATCTCGTTACCTTCAAATATTCGTCAGGAAGTCACTCGCATGGGTCTCACTGCTGAGGTTTCGACTGTGAATGATATTATGCAGCGTGCTCTTATTGTTGAGAAGGGTATCCGTGCAGAACGATATTACAGTCAACAACGGCAAGACCATATATCTCGACTTCATAAGTCATCGAAGGAGAATGCCAAATCTGCAAAGAAGAGGCGTTCTCCATCACCTCGTAAATTCAAGAAGGTTCAGGGTGAGCGCCATAGCACTCGACCCAATCCTGGCTACGAAAAATTCAAGCGAATTCGTGATCAGCCCAAGAAGGATCGTCCATCTTCAGGGCATAAATCATCGCACCCACACCACTCTAAAGACAAGGGAAAATCGAATCCTAACTCGAAAATCCCTACCTGCTACGGCTGTGGGAAGAAGGGACATTACTCCAATGATCCCTCATGTCCGGAGTACGGAAAGCGAAGTTCCGGAGAGAAATTGTACCACATTGTGGATGACAACTCTCCAGACAATTCGTCTGTGAATTCAGCATCGGATCATGAATCCTCCGATGAGGAGTATCATACAGAGGTTGAAAACCCACCGGATTGGACTAACCTCTCAGAAGACGAACCTGGAAATTCTTCCGGGCACCAGTCTCCCAATAATTCTGATGCTGAAGACCCTTATGGTGGAAGTCAGTATACATCCGATGAGGGTACTACTGATGAACGCATGGGGTTTATTTTTGAAGAAGATAATGATTTGTTACGGTTTATTCTTTTCTTTTTCTTTTCTTATGCATTCGTGCTTACTCTATGCTGCGATTCTGATCGGACATTCTCACAGTACTATTTTTAGTCTACTCAGCGTGTATTTAAGTAGAGCCTCAGCTGGTCTAAACCCCAGCTTCGGCTAAGGTTTAATCTACCTAACTCAAAGCTCCCCGTTTCGTGACTATCTGTCCCCTCGACTCCGTCGCCTTTGACTTGCTGAGTATCGTCTACCGAAGTGCGAGTAGCGATCTTAGTACGATCTAAGTCGATCGAGTTAGTGGCTAACATTTAGCCGAAGCTCGTCTACCAATCGCCCAGCGCCACTTCATAGAAAGAACGCTGCCCGATTATCTCTAAAGAAATTCCCCTTGCTTGACCAGAAGAGGTCATCGCCTGCGTTCGTGTGGACAACCCGGTGCTTGTCAACGCACAGCGAGTGGACCGACGGAAAAGCACTCACCATTCATCCGATACACTTCTTTGTCGTAGTGGTCCTTTGGGTCACTCCCTTTGACCTACTACTCCAAGCTGCGGTAATCGCCTGGATTCTACCCCACCTAGCAAACGACCCCATCTTTCCAATTCTAGTAACTGTTCTACTCACCTTGGTCCTCATCCGAGTCTGTATTGCCGCACCGATTTTAGCAGGACTGCTAATCGCTATCTACGGCGCATACGTTCCCCTCGTCTGAGGCACCACGCACCTACTCAAACTATCCCTACAGTCAGCTTCTTTGTTAACAATCATACTGTTGACATTGACTGACCCTTCTTTTGACGACGATACCCCGTTGATGACCGGCTCGAACTACGAGACCGACCTCAACCTGATTATCGCGACCCTCACCGCCCTAACTATCATCACCTTAACCATTGTATGGTCCATCCTTACCGCCGGCCCTCTCAGAAGATAAACCCCCGGACGGATGCCCTTATCCGACGCCATTCCCGTAATCTCCGCGCTTTTTACCGTCTTTTCCTTGTTCATCTGCTTGTACCATCTCCAGCGGTGTTGCCGCCAGCAGAGACGCGTACGAGCCCAGCTTCCATTCCACTACATCCCGGCTACACCAGCCTACCCGCCGCCCGTAATCTTCATCCCGGCGGCCTCTCAGCAAACTCTTCACGATGGCCGACCCATCACACCCAGAGGACCTGGAGAGTCCCTCTACACATCGTCGCGATCCAGCTCGGGATCCTCAGAGTCGAGCACAGACTCCTACAGAAGCGCTACCGCCGAGTCAGACTCAGACCACTCCGTCGACATCACCGATACCGGGGGGGTACTCCTCGACAGAGGAGACTCGCCCCTACCAGGTCTCTTCGACGTCGCTCCAGTCGAGGGCGAGTCAAGCGCCGACGGAGCCCGAAGACAAGGCACCAGGCATCTGGTCGCGAGCGAAGAAGGCTCTGACACCGAGTTCGAAGGCGACGAGCTCACCGAGCTCGAAAGAGTCCGACTCGAAGACCTCCTCCGCGACCTCTATCCGAACGAGGAGGAGGATGCAACCTATACCGGAGATAACTGGAGCGGGCGCTCCCAAAACCGGTGGAGCATGGCAGAGTGGGGATCGGCGACAAGAGGCGCCGCAAGAATCAACGACACCTGGGAGCAGGCCAGGGACAGAAGGGTGGCGAGCGACATCGCCAGAGACCACGCCCGCTACGAGGCAGCCCGGGGACGTCGCGACGACTTCAATGACAACTCCGGAGAGCTTGGCCTCGGGGCCTCCGCGGCTACCACCCGTCCAACTGAGCCACAGCCTGTTTCAGGCTCCTGGCCAACCGATCGGGGAAGAGCAGTTGCCTGGTACCCCCGTACCAGTTGGGTCTACGCCGACGACGACAGGAAAGAGGCTTCTGTGGCCGGAGAGTCGACCAACTCCGGATCCGAGTCAGAGTCCGACCAGATCACTACAAGGCCCACGACCCCAACGCTCGCTCCCGCCGTCCCCGCGCACGAGCCGACGAATGGGGAGCTTTGGAGCGAGTACGGTGAGCTCGATGCTGAGGAACTTGGAACAGTTACCGTTTCCGAGCGACTCGCCGGAGTCTCCAACTGGGAGCCGTCAGTACCGTCGCGAGCCTTCGCCGACCCCGTCCCTCTATCCCAGCATCCGTGGCCGCTCCTCTATCACACGTACGTCGAGTCCCTCGGACTCCCTCGAAATGTCCGGGAGTCCCCAGAAGTCGAGGCCCGAATGGAGCGCGGAAGAGCGCATGATGCACGCATCCGTCGGGCCGAGGAGGACGCCCTCCAAGGACCCGACAGCTGGTGGGACCTACCCCTCGAGCCCGATGCCACCAGAGCAGAAATTGAGAACCGAATACGAGCAGCCGCCGTCCGATATACCGGAGCGGCACGAAGAGCAGGAACCGATTTGGAGGCCCGAAGAAGAGCCTGGGCCTCCTACCAGTCCGAGATCTCTGACCCCGACTCCGACATCAAGAGGCAGGAGAGAAACGCAAGAATCGACCGCCTCGCCCGAGAGAGGCAGAAGGACAAGGATGCCCAGCCGCCCGCCGAACCGGACCCTAGAACCGACGGTAATGGCAGCGGTGAGGCAGGTCCTTCTTAATGGACCCAACCCGCGGCCCGCCATCTTCAACCTCCTACCATGGCATGGCCTATACGAAATAGTGATGGAGGACATGGAGAAGGACCCGCAGTGGTTGTTCACGGAGGCGGGAGAAGACTATCGACACGCTCGCCAGATGGGCGACGTGTATCTGCAGAAAAATATCCTGGACGTAGAAACCTGGCATCGCGCAGCCAAGGTGTGGAACCAGGTCCACCCGGAGGACCAACGACGGGGGTGTGAGGCGTATCGACGCCCCCAGCCAATGCCTCATCCCCAAGACCCATCGGACTTCTTCCCCGAGGGATTCTTCGGGGGAGCAGGAGGGGAAGACGACGAGGACTACGCGGACATGGGGGCAGGACCCTCCAACCCTGACAAGGGAAAGCAATCCACGGTCCCGCCGGTTCCACCAAAGCCGCCGCGATACCCGGATCCTGCAGGATATCCGCCCCCAGGGGAAAACCGGAACCTGTGATCCCTGTCGCGTCCGCCTAAACCGCCTGTCCCTCTGCGCGTTCCCTCGCCCCCGGATCCGATTCCCCCGTGGCAGCTAGCTCAAGGAGGGGCCAATAACCCCTGGAACGACGTGAAGCCTAAGCTGGTAACCCAGCCCGAATACTTCACCGGGGTTTCCTCCGACATCACCCGGTTCTTACATCACTGCGAGGTCTATTTCTCGGTATTCCCCATGTATTATACGATGAACGATCAAGGGCACAACCCTTATCGTATCACGTTTGCACAAGGATACCTATGAGGAGACGCGCAGCAGTGGTGGGTCGACCAGTACTATCGCTATCGGGACCCGCAGGGTCATTGGAGATTCCCCACCTGGGCGGAATTCTCCGAGGATCTAACGCGCGAGTTCCGCGAAGTCGCTGAATTGACCATATGGAAGGCCAAGTGGAAGAAGGTCCGCCAGTCGGACTTCAAGTCCGCAGTGGAGTTCTTCGTGAAGTTCGAGCGGCTGGCTCATAAATGCGAGGAGTTCGGAGATGAAAAGCAGATGTTCAAAGCGGTAGAAGCGGCGATAAGACCGACGGTGCGGAATACGGTTATGCATGGGGACAATGAGCGCCCCACAACCTACGCACAATGGAAGGCACGCGTCTTGAGGATAGACGCGAACTATCAATACGGGGTCGCCCAGGGGTTGGGCAGTAAGTCCTCCTCGAACCAAGGCGGTTCGGGTCGAGGCAATCAATCATCACAGAAGGGTGGAGCGTCAGGTGGCGACAAGAAGGACGCCACGGGAACGACGTATGGGGGTGCCGGACAACCGATGGAAATCGACAAGCTGCGGTCCGACAAGCGGTGCTTTAAGTGTGGGAACACGGGGTGGAGCCCCAAGCACAAGTGCCCTGACGATAAGTCCAAGTGGCTTCCCGTCAAACTCCCACCGCGCAAGAAACCCAACGTCGCCCGCCTCCGCCAACTGCTCGAAGAAGCCGTAAAAGAAGAAAACGGGAAGGAGACGAAGATCGAGGAGGTCAAGGACGATAAGTCGTCAAAAGACCAGCCGGCGTCGAAATAAGCGATTCGACGGCGTCGGCAAAGGACTTAGTTTCACTCGGTACGCATTCATGTACTACCAGCCGGACTTATACTACGTACGTAGGTACTCCGTTCGAGCAATATCAAAATATTTTCGCCGCATTACCAGTAGAAGAAACTAAGGAATCGGAATCGCAACACCAACACGGCGTAGGAGGGGATTACCACCTCCTAGCGCAGCCTGCGTCTGGAAATGAACCCCTAGGGGCTGTCCCAGCTCAGGAACCCCCGACCGACCGCACAGGGAAAGCCCCTCGAGGGCAGAGCCCCCTAGGTCGTGTCCCGACTGCACCCTTGACGAAGGAAGGTCACCCCGGAGTGGGAGAAAGGCCGACAACCCAGCCCGCTGGGCCTGTGTCCTCATTTGTGGGGCCGTCTGTTCTAGTGGGAGGCGTTGAGAAAGCAGCTGAGGCCGTGAAGACGAGGGACCCCCTGCCCTTAGTAGCCAAGGACAATGCTGCGGCAAACGGTGCAGACCCCCCGTCCAAGCCAACATGTGTGCGCTCACGAAGGGTTACCCGAAGTACCGCCGGGTCCAGGACGAGCCGTAAGGATGGACCGACTGTGGAGGTTACAACGCCGCACACAAGTGCCCGTGGCCAGGGCCGAACACAGGGCAGCGAGCCCTCCTCCACCACCTCGATTACCAAGGGCGCCCAAGTGCCGCCTCGGGACCTTTCTCGTCCCGGTGACCAAATGCCACTTCGAGGGAAGAACCCGTCGGTTCTATTAGAGGAAGTAGAAGATGAAGAAGCCCATCTACGGTCCGACATACCGGTGGTAACCCCCAGAAGGTCGACGTCCCCTGCCGTGTCTCTCACCGCGAATGCCAATGACAAGAAGGTGTTCGCGGAAATGTACTACGAGCCCCATGGGATCCTATGGACCCGTCGAGCCCTACGCATCGCTCGAGGGGACGCGGCGACTCGTGCCGTCCTCAATGGGTGGGTACACCCTCGACGAAGAGAGGAGGTGACCGACCAGCTATGCTATCAACTGGAGGAGCAGACAGAGACGGCCACGCAGGCCAGGGAGCGGTGGCAGTGGATGGAGGATCTGCAGAAACCACCCATGTACATACGAGGAAGGAAGGGGCGGAATGTTTCAATAAAAGTGCAGTTAGAGACGCTCGATACCCGGGAAACCCATGCCGTATCCGCCCTAGTCGATAGCGGGGCGACGGGAAGTTCCATCGACCGCGCCTGGGCCCAGGCCCACGAACTCAATCTGAAGAAAGCGGCCTGACCCGTCCCGGTCTATAATGCCGACGGCACCCGCAATAAAGGAGGGGACATCACCGAGTATGCCGAAGTACGGCTGCGCATAGGGGACCACGTGGAGCGGATCGAACTAGCCGTAGTCGATCTAGGCTCCACTCCCCTATTTCTCGGACATGACTGGCTACAACGCCATAATCCGCTCATTGACTGGGACACCGGGGCAGTCACCCTGGCCCGGTGTACCTGCAGGAAAATCCCGTTCTCCCTTCCCGACACCGACCCTTCAGCGCGATGGGATGAGTATGAAGAAGGGGATACCATCCTTGTGATAGACTTTGAAGAAGCCTTCCATGTACGGGCCATGGGAACCAGAGCCAACGAACTGGCCGCCCAAGCTAACGCTAAGAAGGATGTCAAATCGTTCGAGGACATAGTGCCCGAAGAATATCGGGACTTCAAAGATATCTTCGATAAGGAGAACTTTGATGAACTTCCCCCGCGCAAACCCTGGGACCACGCCATCGAGCTCATCCCCAACGCTAACGCCAATCTCGACTGCAAGGTCTACCCACTCAATCCGGTGGAACAGGAGGAATTGGATAAGTTTCTGGATGAAAACTTAGCTACCGGGCGCATCCAGGCCTCGAAATCTCCAATGGCCTCCCCATTCTTCTTCGTTAAAAAGAAGGATGGGAAGTTGCGACCTGTCCAAGACTACCGAAAGCTTAATGAGATGACCATCAAGAACCGTTATCCGTTACCGCTTATCAGGGAACTCATGGATCGGCTGAAAAAGGCCAAGTACTTTACCAAACTGGACGTCCGGTGGGGCTACAACAACGTGCGAATCAAGAAGGGAGACGAGTGGAAGGCCGCCTTTCGAACTAATCGCGGCCTCTACGAGCCCCTCATCATGTTCTTCGGACTCACCAACTCTCCTGCTACCTTCCAGTGGATGATGAACGACATCTTCAAGGATCTCATCACAGCTGGGGAAGTATCGGTGTATCTGGATGACATCCTCATTGCCTCCAAGACCAAGGCGGAGCATAAGAGGATTGTACGAAAGGTCCTCCAGATATTACGAGAGAATAACCTGTTCCTCAAGGCGGAGAAGTGCGAATTCGAAGTGGAAGAGACCGAGTATTTGGGGGTAATCATCAGCGAGGGAAAGATTCGCATGGACCCTGTCAAGATTGCGGGCCTCTTGGATTGGCCGGCCCCTCGTAGGAAGCAAGAGTTGCAATCCTTCCTCGGGTTCTGTAACTTCTATCGACGGTTCATTCGTGACTATAGCAAGCACGTTCGACCATTAACAATGCTTACCGGAAAGCAGGAGTGGACGTGGGGGGAGACCCAACAGAAAGCATTTGAAAAACTCAAGGAGTTATTCCGTGAAGACGTAGTATTGGCCATTCCCCTCGACCAAGGGCAGTTCCGAGTAGAGGCAGACTCGAGCGAGGGGGCGATAGGAGCCGTGCTTTCACAATGGCAGGACGAGAAATGGCGACCAGTTGCGTTTCTCTCCAAGGCTCTTTCAATTACAGAGCGCAATTACGAGATCTACGACAAGGAACTTCTCGCAATTATGATCACCCTCGAAGAATGGCGTCAATACCTCATGGGGGCCCGAGAGGATTTCGAGATCTGGACTGATCATTCAAACCTCCAGTACTTCCGCAAGCCCCAGAAACTCAACCGACGACAAGCCCGTTGGGTAACTGAGTTGGCGGAGTACCAGTTCAGTTTGCACCATAAACCCGGGGCTCAAAACCGTAAGGCCGACCTCCTATCAAGAAGGGCAGATCACGACCAGGGGAAGGAGGACAATCGGGACGTTGTGGTCCTTAAAGCGGAACACTTTAGGGCCCTGGTAATGCCAACCGCGGAGGACTTGCACGAAAGGATCAAGGCTGCTACGCACGATTCCCGCCACTGGGACAGAGGCATTTCGGACTCCCTCAACCATGAAAAAGGGGTTTCCCGCGAGCAGGACCTTTTATGGTACGACGGGCGTATTTATGTGCCGGTGGATCGGGACCTCCGAGGGCAGATCATCGCCCTCAAGCACGACCACGTCACAGCTGGACACCCAGGAATTGAGAAGACCAAAGAGTTGGTACTTCGCGACTACTGGTGGCCATGCATGCGAAGGGATGTAGAAGCTTATGTAAAGAGCTGCGAAGTTTGCCAACGAACTAAGGCTGATCGTCGCCCAAAGAA